AATTTTAAACTCTTAACTTTATTTTATTTAGTTTAAAGACTACTAGAGAAAGCACTTTATATAGCATAAAAAAGCTAAAGCTTTAATAAAAGCTATTTTTTAAAAGTATATTAATACAAAGGCTAAAGCTAAGGCTAATAACAATAATATTACTTAAAAGCCTACACAACACAAGTTACTTAGTAGTAACTATTATAATAAAAGCTTTAAAAAGACTTTTTTTATTAACATAAGCCTTCTTACTAGCAGCTGCTTATATAAAAAGTAGTAGAAAATAATAGAGTTGCAGCAGTACTATAATAGCTGCTATAAAGATGTTACTATAGCTAATAATAACAGCCTTTTATTTACTAACTTTTTTACTTAGTAAAAATAAGTTAGATAACTTTTTTACTTTACACTATATAAAATTACTTTTAACTTTTTATTTATCTTTTTTATAAGCTATAATTATAAAAGGTTTTTTTTTAAAAGTAGAAAAACTATTACTTATAATAAAAATAAGCTTTTTAGCTTAATAATTAAGGCTTTTTAACTATAAAAAAACTAGCTCTAGTAAGGTTATATTTATAGTAAAATAAAGGACTTAGTAGACTATATACACTGTAACATCTTATAAGCTGTTAAAATGTAAGAGGATTATAAGCTATAATAGTTACGCCCTATAAGTAGATTTAAATTCTCTCTTTATATTAAAACGTACTAACAAACTAAGAAGTTACAGCCTAAAAAACGGCGAGTTGAAACGTATTACGTACGGTTGGGAACGCTGATTAAGATGCCTTGCTGATATTCATACTGATCCTCCGTATGCTTTTGCATGGTCGTGAGCCTGAGGAGTCTGACCAGTGTCATACGCGACATTGCTTCGACTATCCTGCCAGTCTTTAATGCGCGTATCGGGCGCACCTTTGGGGCACGTTGACGCTAGATTGGGAGGTGTTACTAAATGGGAGGTTGTGAGGCGTTGACGAAAGCTTGATCATTTATATAAATAGACAAAAATAAGTCAAGTGAGTAATTTACACAGGCTGAGCGACGTTTAACGCCCATGGACTAAGATTCCCTGAGAAACGAATAACTTGGGAGCCTTGTTATGATTGTCGACGGCTTTACTTCAGATGATCCGAGAAGGATGCTTGTGTTTTGGACGCTTGGCATTAGGAACGACATGCAGAGATCGAAAAGCGGAGATGGAAGCCATTACCACAAATCGTATCAAGATTGGCCGAGCTATTATTGCTCAATTTTGTTGAATTGATTCGTTCCATCCACAGAGCGAGATAAACAACCTCATGCCTCTAGATTAGATCTAGCATTCAGGTTCCTCTCACAATAGTTCTTCATTCCCATATATAGATGCTCTTTGAGATTTCTCCTCAAATCAAATATCAGCGGCGGAGCGCATACACAACTGAATTCCGCTTCGGCGTCCACTCTCAGGCTGCCTCAATCTATTCTGTACTTGGCTTGTCCGCATCGGCTTCCGTGCAGCAAGTCCAGCATCTCCCTGAGCGGTACGAAAACTGTTATGAAAGATTAGCTGCTTTCCTATCTTAAAAATTCTCATTTATTTTAGCTTACCCCTGTCTCGCCGCAATCCATAGGTTTGGCACTGCAGATCTTCAGACAGATTCCAGGACTCTGTCGTTCTTCCACCGGCGCGGCGGTAATAATAGAAGGGAGGATGGCTAAGAAGGCAAAGATGTAATGCTTCATTCTGAATTACCAGCGTAAAATAGGGATCCAGAAGAGTGGTGGGGGGGTTTAAATGTTCATATAAGAGAGAACTCGTATTCATCAACCGGATAAAGATGAAGTTTTCTACCGCCCGATGGCTTGGCTTGCAGTTCGTTTTAATCGCTTTCCGCTATTTTCGGATATTCTTTTTGCCCATGTATTGTTCTTCTTTCGGTCCCGTACGTTGTGCGACTGCTCAGGTTTTGATGCTTCCATGGGAGTCCAAGCATGATGCGACATACCGATACCTAAATTTCCGGGGTTGTTTCAAGCGTAAAATTGGGTAGGACTAGCGAACGGGGTTCCAAAGAACGGTCCCTTTACTATAGGTTGAGAAAGATTGTGAGGATCGGCAGAGTTCCCGCTGTGAAGCCATTGAGATTGGGCGGTAGGGTCGCTGGGGGTCAGCTGGGGGTCAGCTGGAACCCGTCAAATGAGAAATTGCCGGAAAGATTTAATTTTGGGCCAAGAGAAGTAGAACGCTTTGAACCTTGCAGTAGGTTTAGCTTGGAAAGCTGGGTATTAGGTCCCTTCAAATAATAGAGCGTGGGCTAGTTCTACTAAGGGACACGTAACTTCGCTGAAGCGTTTTAGCTAGCGTGATTTGCTAAGCGCAAGGGGATCTAGGTTTATACCTCTAGGAGGCGATTACAGGAAAGAACTCGGGTTGTTCAAATTGGCAATGAGTTTAATCTCGTCGACCATATGCCTGTCTCCCAGCTCTGCTTCCCTGGAAAGCCCAGAGAGCCACGGTGTCACGAATATGGAGTCAGGAAATTGTTCTGTCATCAGAGAAGTTGGAGAATCTCCCATGTGCAAGGAAATCCGCAAGAGCCCTACAGCTTCGCCATTGTAGCGAAAACGCTTGAGAGTAATTCCTATTATTAGAGTTTAGAACCATAAAGTTTCTCTAAAGGCTATGCCCTCCAGACGGACGACATTAGTTCTTGCCAGCTAGCCATCGCAGAGGCAACCATGGTATATCCCTTAAGATGGTCACAGTCCCAAGTCACGGCTTTCAAATATTGGATTAGGCTACGGTTCGTAGCGAACATGTGAATGCTCGCTAATGTCAACAATTCTTCCTACACGAGATTTTAGGTGGCATAGCTATAGACTAGCGCAAATTATGTCTTGGGGTGTAGGAAATCATCCTCTCTGAAAGCTGTGTTGATGATGCTGCATGGCCTCATCAATATTCCTTACATTTTGCCTTGGGGTCACGTCAGCGTTGTTTTTTCAACCCACTTCAGAGTTTGGTAGCATATGCGAGATACAAGAAGAGAAATAAGCCCCTGAAGTCGCTCGCAGTTTTTATTATCAATAAGCTGCGGACGAGAGGTGAAGAGCAATATCGAATCCTGAGCTCCTGGAGATGGCACATATATCTCGCCGAACATCAGGGGACCTGAGAAATCCCTCGACAATTCGATGCAAATATGATACCATGAAACCGCTGGTTTCGTCCACGCGGATGGGGAAAGCCTTCAAACGCGATTTTCCAGGCCCCCAACTGGAATGGTCACTCTTCGGGACCTGTGTTGTCTTGCGAAGTTCTAACTTTCTACAACTGTGACTATGTATACACGCACCAATAGTGTTTACTAGCCAGGAGAACTTTTTATGCTAGAGAGGTTCCGCGGGTAAGTTAACCTTGTATGCAGGGGATTGGATAACATAAACGAAGGCAAGAGCTCTAAGAAGTGCTCTAATTTGAGGTCATTTTAGGTGTGAAAGAAATGAAAATTACGGCAGCTTGCTTCGGGTATCTGGGCTGTAAGGTATATACATTCTATTATGCACGCGAATCAACCGTTGGCTGACTATTCGTACATGTTTGGCTGTGATAGAGGAGTAGTGCGGAGCCCCGCCCGCCCTTACATGGGCTGTGGCCTCCTAATTATTTGTTTTTAAAGCTCCTTCAAGCTGGAAAGAATGGGTTGAAGCTTGTAGACGGCTTAGTGGACTATGCAATACTCCTTCTGCCCAGTCTTTGGCCTCCGTTATGGAATGTCTGGCCTCTTCCGGTAAGTGGTGTGCTACTCTCATCCTAGACGAGAATATCTATATCTCAATTTGTGAGGTACTGCATCCGTAGGCTTGGGCATCCTTGGAATGCATTGAAGCACGCATTGATTGGTGGACTGGACAAAACCAGCTTGATGTGTGGCTACCAAGGAACGTAGGAATTAGGAAATTTCCCGTCAGTCATCTTCAATCTCGCTCATCGTATCGATCAGGAGGATCAGCCTTAGGATCGCAGATTTTTCCTTTGAGGAACTCGAAGGTTTTCAATGTTGATATAAGCCTAAAAACTCTACAGGAATCAGCCTGGGTTAGCGTTTGAGAACACTAAGGACAAATTACCTGAGCATCCCTGCTCTACCCTATTGTAAGGATATCCCGAGATTCCAGAAGCAGATTCCAACACTAAATCCTCGTTTCGCCCGGCCCATTGTTGAAATGTTTGTTCGGTTACGATACTTAGCATCGGAGTTTTCGTCCGAGTGTAAAGGCTCCTGAGGGTCACGATAAACTTCTTGAGAGTGAATTTTCCACTACCCACCTTTCAGTCATGAAATACGGAGTAGAGATACGTGTTGTAGAGAGATAGCAGTGAAGTTGACTCAATTAGTATCCCCGATTAGTTTCCGAAATATCCACCCAAATGTGCATTAGTAAGCTAAACTAGTTTTTCCACATCGACAGCGCTTCTGACAGAACATCGCCCATATCAAAACCGCTAAGTCGAACGTTTGGAGGTTTGGGGAGTCCAAATTCCCTGTAGGCAATCCTGAATCCAGCTTTGTATTCATCCAACCTATGGCCGTCCTAGCATTGGACAGCATCTACAAGGTGCCGAATAGTGCTGACGAACTTGGCCTTATCAAGATCCTAAGCTCGCCTATCATTCTAGATTTCCTTGAAATTGGCAAGCGACCTAGGCACCTGCACTATAGGGACAACCACGCCGCTCTCACCGTACCATCTCTATATGTTATGGTTAACACCAGAGACATGGTCAAAGATGAGGTTACAATTAGCAAGCTGTATTGCGTACTGTATTCATTTGCACAACAGCACAAGCGTTGGCATCAATTGGAAAATAGAGTCGATAGAAAAATGCATAGAGAATTTATAGAGCATACGTGTAGAAAATAAAGATGTAGAAGTCTATGGTTAAAGAACCTTAGCATTATCACCTAAATCAAAGGCCTCTACCTGCTTCTGCCGCATAGTGAGCTAGTGTTTATGCTGTTGTGCAAAGTATTGTACGAAAGTACTATGGAATGTGTCCTATACATTCACCATCGAGCGTCTGGATCGGAGCTTATCATCTGCAATGTTCTAGGAGCCAGGAAGAACTGGCTGCCACCGAGATGAAAGCTCAATAGGCTCTCCGTATCTAAGGTATGAATATCATGATTGCTTAATCAAATATTCGTTCGATTGAATGGCCTGAAACCAAGATTATGACGTCCCCGCCCTCACCCGGAAGATTTCCAGCATCAAAGGAAAAGCACAGTCCCAACTAATTAGTCACAGCCTCCCTTCCCCTTGACCTTCCCATCCTCTACGACCGGCACCTTTGGGACATCCACACCCTCTTCTTTCCACTTCATACCAATATATGCATCGCTTAGGACTGTAACATCAAGTTTCTTCCCCTGGGTGTCTTCTGGCAAGTTTATCTTGGCTATAGCCTGCAGTCTCGTGCTAGTTGTATTTCCTCTAGCAGCCGTGTTCCAGCCCACGCGTTTCAAAGCTATCATCTCATCGCTACTAGGGTAACTAAGAACGACAAAGAAGCCCTCAGTCTGCGGCTTTGGATACCTCGGTGCGAAAATCCGTACGCCACCGGCGGTCATGCGCGCTACGTTAACGCGAGAGAGTTGAACGGAAATATTGGTGGCATTTATGTCCCGTGCGTCGACATTGATGCTTGGTAAGCGCCCGGCTGGTTCTAGGAACCGTTTCGTTGCTTCGGGTTTCACTCCTGCGAAACGCGCGGCTGTCTCGAGGACGGCGTTTGGGGTAGTTGTAGCCTCGACCAAGGACTTCGGGGTAGCTTTCGGGTGTTCCATTCTCTTCTTCTCCTTCTCGATATCAACGCCTGGAAAGATAGCCAAAGGTCCATCGGTCGGCCAACGCGCGCATTTAATGCACTGGAGTAACGTAATCATCATTTCGCAGCTCGAAAAATATCCCAGCTCAGTCAGCACATCTATGCTTGCTTGTACGATACGAATACTCTGATCAAGGACGCTGTTTAGATCCCCCACATAGTCGGATATTGGCAGGTCGATCCGAGAGAAATGCGCTTGGAGCAGCAAGTAGGCTTTAACGTGGGGATCCCACATGGGCAAGCCGAAGTCATCAGCTTTGAGCGGAAGAGCAGCCGACATCTCTGCGTTAATAAGGTCTTCATTGTGGCGAACAGGAAGCTCGTCATATTCGATAGCGTGCGAGACCCAGGATAAGACGTCGGAGAATGTTGCGTCACGCTTGGCGTACTTGACCAGGTGCCGAATAGTCTTGTGAGAGAGGTAGTAATAACTCATGATCTTACCTAATGCCGTCGAGTCAATGTCACCAGTACCGCGTATAGAGATGCATGACGATTTGGCGAGCTCTTTCAATGAAGTCTCGACCAATTCGACCATGTAATCATTCGCTAAAGTTTGTGCGGCAATGGTATTGTGCTCTTCAGCCGATATCTCGAGTCCGTAGTATGATGGGTTCTTGTGCAATCGCCGGAAGAAGAATGTCCAAGTCAGGTAGTCAAGTGCGTCCTGCTTAGTAGCAATCGTTCCCGCGGATATTTCTGCGCCAAGATGGTTGTCGAGAACTTTATGTAAGGATGACTCAACGGGGAACCCAGTGTGTAAGAAGTGCTTGTAGAATTCCTTCTTAGCATCCTGAGTAAAGATGCGAGCAATCCCTGAGGAGTCGAACTGCGGGCGACCTGCACGACCCAGCATTTGAAGAACATCTGTAAGATCCATGTCTTTATACCCTTCGGTCTTTGCGTCGAAGAATTGAGTCCCCTTCACGACAACCAAATGAGCAGGAAGATTAACACCCCAAGCTAGCGTACTAGTAGCAATCAGTATCTGAATCTTGTTATTTGCGAAGAGCTCTTCGGACAGTTGGCGATCAGATTCCACCAAACCAGCATGGTGAAGACCGATACCAAAGCTAAGAGCTTCACGGAGTGCATCATCTTTAGCCCGCGATAGATAAAGGGCAAGGTCGTCTTCCGGCATGTGTAGGAAGCGCCGCGGGTTGTCCTCCATACCGCAGAAGTTTATCAAGTCTCGAGCTGTAAGTCGAGTCTGTCTCCGGGAAGCAACGAAGACAATGACTGGCTTCTCTGGAGAGTGAGACTTGATTGCAAGGAAGGTCGGCCGGTTCATGCTTTGCATAAGCGGACAGAAGCCTCGCTGTTCCGGGAAGCCATCAATGAAAATTTCCAGCGGCACCGGGCGGACTGAATGCCGGAAATTAAACAACCCTTCCTTTACGCCAAGCCAGTTTCCAAGATCGGTAGCATTCGCGCAAGCAGTTGACATGCCAAGAAGCCGGACAGATCCTTTGCTTTGTGAAGCAATATAGTTCATCCTGGAGACAATAATTTCGAGAATCGGTCCACGGTCACCGCCAAGCAGGTGAATTTCATCAATAATGACTAAGCCGACTTGTCGAACATAACCACGCGTCTGCCAGCTTCGGCTGATGCCGTCCCACTTCTCAGGCGTAGTAATGATGATATCTGCATCGCGGATAGTACGAGTATCCGGAGTGTTATCGCCTGTCAACTCAACAAGCTTCAACCCCATTGGGACTGCAAGACGTTTCCCCCAGTCATGCACTCGTTCGCGAACAAGAGCTTTCATGGGAGCAATGTATACCACTTTAGAGCCTGGTTTTTCTCGGAACGCCCACCACATGGCAAGTTCTGCGGCAACAGTCTTTCCACTCCCTGTAGGAGATCCTAGGAGAACATTTGCCGGAGTGTGATATAAGCAATGAAAAATTTGTGTTTGCATGGGATTGAAGTACTGGAAACGTTTGGCGTACAGTTCCTCAAGAAGGGTGTTCTTGAGTGCCGAAATCGGCAATGGTTGTAGATTTAACAAGTCGGTGTATACGCTTTCTGTATCAGGTCGAATAAGATGCTGGAAAGACACAGGATGCACTGTCTCTGCGCCTAACCAGCGATCGGACACAACACGAACATAGATTTGCGAAGGAAGTGGATCTGTGAGAGGAATTGTGAAATTCAGCTCATGGTCATCATACAGCTTTCTTCTCGATAAGATAAAGTATTCGGAGTGATATATCTCTGAGGTCTCCGAATTCTCGACCCAGATCCAGTACGATTCGGAGGTTCCATGGTGACGGTCGTTCCACCGAAAGTCCGGAGTGAGAAATAGTTGGATACGGAGTACATCCCTATTCAAGGGTGCTATTTCGGCTTCGACGCTCAATGTTGGAAAGTTGTCTAGCAGCTTGGAGATGACGTTTCCCATTTTATGGTTGTGGACAAGCTGTCCGATTTCCGCAGGCTCCATATCGCGCAGAGCTTCGACTGATGAAATGGCGCTCTTCTCGTCGAGGTTTCGCAATACTGGCTGCGGAAGATCAAATTGATGCAAAGGGTGCTCAAATGGCCATATTTGTCGCTCAATTGATTGACAGATGCTGAGCAAAACAAGACACTGATAGCCCCAGCGTCGGTTGAGAGCAATCATAAAAAGAGCACGACAAATCCGGGTAGCATTTTGCGTGATATAGTTCGTATCGGACACAAGGGTGTAGTCTTCCAGTCGAGCGCGGGAAATGTGTGATTGCAGAAGGATGTTCGTCTTCCCATGGGGCGTATCGATACCACCTTTTACGTCTGTGGCCACATACCCTTCATCTTTGAGTCGGAAAAGCTCCTTCTCCTCAGTGTCTCGGGATTGGATGTTGTCAAATTCTCCGCTCATACTGATCATGGCGAGAACATCAGCCTCTGATGCCCGTGGCCTCATCAAGGAATTGAAGATCTCAATACTGGATTGCTGAACATAGTATTGACTAGCGATGCGACCAACGTCCTTAGAGCGTAGATCCTCTGTGACTTCGTTGAAAATCACCATCTGGCTCTTTTGCAATACCCGTGCAGCGTCGATGACCAACTTGCGTCTCCGTTGAACAAGTTGCGGATCATCCCGTATCTCTGCCCACTCAATTCCATAATTGAGCGGGCTCTTCTGCATCCGGACGAAAAGGTAAGAATAGCCAAGCCATTGCACTGCTTCTTGCACAGTGGAGACAGTTCCTAGCGAGATTTCTGCGTTGAGGTTGTCCACAAGTTTCGTCGAGAACCGAGACTCAATCGGCTGCTGCTCGGTCACAGCTCGAAGATAGTGGTCAAGCCGGTCATGCATCGTGCAGATAAAACCAATGCCAGTATCCTGGAACTGCGGACGGCCAGCACGGCCAAAAATCTGCAAGACATCCAGGATTCCAAGGTCAGTAAAACGACCTTCCTGCGCATTGTAAACCTGCGTGCCCTTAATGATAACGGCCGCGGCCGGCAAGTTGACACCCCAGGCTAGAGTCGCCGTACAGCAGAGAACTTTAAGAACCCCCTCGGCAAAAAGTCGTTCAATGAGGTTTCGGTCTGAGCGGGGCATACCCGCATGATGCGTGCCTATTCCTTTTGGGAGCAACTCGCGAAGTTCCCGCCCTTTGGATTGCTTCATGTCTCGTAAGGCCTGATCGTAACGCGGGTGGAGAGTAGGATCGAATAGGTCCGAAAGCTGCTGATCGACAGCTTTCTCGTAAAGATTCCTCGCTGTCTTGACAGTATCTTTTCGGGAATGGACGAAGACCATAACTTGATGACTTAATTTGAGCATGTCTGCGACTTTGTCGAAAGCCACTTGTTCCATGTTTTCCCTTGCCTTAGCAGTTCCGGGTTTCCCTTTAATTCCAACAAAGTGCTGTTCAAGTGGTACTGGCCGGAAGGAGGCGTCAAAGTAGAATAATCCAGCCATCTTGTTGACTCTCAGGAAATCGGCTACATCCACATAGTTCGGGAGGGTTGCAGACAAGCCGACGATGCGAATTAACGATTGTGTGCTCTCCACCTGTCTCTGAGTTCTCGCGACCAAACTCTCTAAAACCGCGCCGCGCTCATCATGGAGCATATGCACTTCATCGATAATGAGCAGGCGAACTTTTTGAACAAGCTCAGTGTCTCCGGTACTTTTGCGTGTGACAACATCCCACTTCTCTGGGGTTGTGACGATGATCTGAGTCTGTACTATTTCCGCCTTGGTGAGATGCATATCTCCGGTAAGTTCGCGAACCTGAATACCGAGCCATGCTAGACGGTTTCCAAGCTTCCCTGTGATCTCGGCGGCAAGAGCCTTCATGGGCGCAACATATATTATCTTGAAGTCTTCGGTAAGGACAGTGAAGTTGGTGGCATCGGGTTCATCGATCGGATTTGGAACGAGGTTTTTGGCAATGACATTCAGTATCGTCAGCATTGCGGCATCAGTCTTACCGGCTCCAGTAGGGGCACAGATAAGCATATTTTCACTGGTTGAATATGCGACGGGGTAGACCAAACTCTGCATTCTGTTCAGAGACTTGTAACCCTTGAAGGTTCGTTTGCAAAGACCGTCCATGTCTTTGATCTCGACGAGCTTGCGGCCGGCACCGATCGTTCCCACAGGAGCAGCTGGAATTGTGTGCTCTTCGTAGGTTTGATGGTCTTCATGCTTGCTATCCGGAGGAAGGGCATATTTCTTGCCGTAAGCTGAGAGCTTATTTCCCGCTTCGTGAGTTCGATAGACATGCGGGTATTGAGGGCCCTCGCGATTGAGTCTCGGTGCAAGCGAGGCATGCTTGTGTTCGTAGTCTTGCCTCTGGAGGGCTTCTTCCCTCTCCTCTCGCGTCTGCAGCCGGCCTATGACTCCGTTCTTTGAGACAGGCACAGGCGGTGACGTGGTAATGTCGCGTCGGTGTGCAATCAGATCAGCGACAAGGTCTAACTCGTCGTATCCAACAATGTCTGCAAGCATCATTTGCAGCTCCTCGTCTACGTATGGGTCAGCCCGGCGGTATCCGAGCAACCGCGAATTGTGCATACTGTTACTATCGCTGGCCAGGATCGCTAGGATCTGCGCCTTCAAGGCGTTTGCATCTAAGCCAGAGCTTCTCCCTGCAACAATGGAGCAACGGTCGGCCAACCACAGTTGGTCATAGAGCCCTCCACCAGCATGCCTGCCGACATCGTCGTCAAGGTTATCGCTGCTGTATTCTTCTTCATATTCATCGCTAATGACGTCCCAGACATCGTCACCACTAGCCACTCCAGAAAAGTCATCGTCGTCCAGATTCAGGTCATCTCCATAGGCAGGGCCACACTCAGCAGCAGAGAGATCTAAGTCGGCTATAGCTTTGCGCATAGCGTCAAGCTGCTCGAGCCATTGGGCCTGGGCGTTTTCTAAAGCTAGCGACATGGCGCCTACTAGGTTAGAATAGATGAAGTTGAAGCAGCAGAACCAGTCAGTATTTGCTGGAGGGGTCACCACGAGGGAGATACCAGAGGTTCACAACTGACTCGGCTGTAACCCCGCGCTATGTGCATTACCTCAGCTGCTGCGCCACAGCGGCTCAGCTGAAACACACAACGACATCGCATCTCATCTTGCATCTGACCGCACCGCCGACCAGGCAACTCCACAGCGTCTCAGCACCCTCTATTGCCGCCTTCTAAATCCGCGTTCCCTCTCCACTCTCCTTCGCATCTCCACATCAACTATCTAATACCGCCATCATGAAGATCTGGTATATCGGCGTAGGCTCCCTCTAACTCGCCTCCTACACCCCTACTGACGAGTATCGCAGATCGTGCGGAATGAAGCTAAGCCCGTGTTTGAGTTGGCCGGCGTGGATGGCTTGGACGCTCAATACAACAGATGGGTCGCGCCAGGCATTAGGGAGATAGTACGTCTCACCGCCCCCAAACCAAGCTTGCGGAGGAGCAAGCGAGCTTACTGTTAACCAGATGAAAGCATATGTCACTACAATCGCTGAACGAATAAAGCCAGGAGAGAGGGACTCTGTTCGTGAGAAAGGTAAGTTGGTCCTACCCCTTCATTGCCAAAAGATTGAGACCTAAGTTAACTTCCTCTTAGATTACCTCTTGCACTATTATGTTCGTCCAGAAGGCATCTGCGGCATAGTAGTCACCGACCTTGAGTACAAGAAGGGGCCCGCTCATAAAATCCTCTCCCAAACCTGCGACGAGTTTCTCACTCAATACCCTCGCTCGACATGGCCGCTCCAGCCCACGGCTAAACAAGGCCATACGGAACACCCCTATGACAAGGTGCTGAAGGAGTATCTGGGAAAGTTCCAAGATCCGCTCCAAGCGGACAGCATGCTAAAGATCCAGCATGAACTAGATGAAACCAAAATGGTGTTGAACAAGACCATCCAGAGTGTGCTCGAGAGAGGGGAGAAGATTGAGGATCTGGTAGCCAAGAGCGATGGACTGAGTGCGCAGAGTAAGATGTTTTATACTCAGGTGCGTAAATGCTTCCGATTTAGCCCAATCGCAATTCCAAAGGGCTTGCCTTGGTGAGAACCACTACTAATGTTTTGCGCGTAGGCCAGGAAGCAGAACTCCTGTTGTGCTGTCATGTGAATACTCTCTACCAGTGCTTTGATGTTTCCCGGGCGTTTGTTATTCGGTTCCACCTTTTGCTCATAATGCCTACCTTTCCGTAGCCTTTTACAAGTTCGAAGTACATTTTCAAATAGAATTCATAACAAGCTCAAATATCGCTGTTTTCGCGTAGCTATGAGGCATCATAGCTCAACTATAGCTCTCGGGTTCTATAAACGGTTTACGTCTCTAGAAATTAATGGCAAGGTACATGTACAGGGATCGAATACAACCAAAGGATATTCGTGTCTCCACTAACGAGCCTTAAAAAGGTTCGTCCTTGAGCAACCCTCCAAGGTAGAGTTTCTCCAGAACTACGCATCCATCCACGTTGAGAATGGCCGTCAGCGCCGGGGATGCTGATGCATCCCGCCGCATGTCTTGATCTTTTTCCATATCTGACGGATTAGGACTTGGTACGACTTCGCGCACCGTCTCATCCTCATCAATCATCCCAAGAATATCTTTGGAAACCCGTTCCATCCCGGTCCCCCTCAAGTTCTCAAACGCCTGGAAACTGTCAAATTCTTCATCCTCATCCTAGTTCCCGTTGAATACTAGCCAGATGCCGGTCGTGCATTCTAGGGACCGGATCCACTAACTACGGCTAGCCTCGGATTCTTTTCCGACCGTTCGTCCGTCGGAACTAGAAGTCGCTCCACGTACGTGCTTATTGTCGCCGCGATCGGGAGAGTCGCTGAGGCTGCGCCATGCTAACGGCCCTTCGGGAGTCTTGGCCCAGACGAACAAGATCTAACACTAACTAATAGTGTAGAGGTAATCGTGAAGGAAACTTGTGTCCTGCCATCCCTCGTCTGTGGAACAAGTGATTTTCCCAGTGGAATTGTACATCGGTTCGGAGCGTCAGAATCGGATGTTTTTCTGACTTGGGGTGAAACGGGTGTCTTCGGTGAACTCGGTGAACCTAACCCACTTCCTTTTCTTGGTAATAGTGTCGTATTCAAATGCGGATGGCAATGCTTCCAGGATCATCACAGCAGGTTGCTGTAACTGCCCGTGTCGGTAGAGTCGGAGTTCCTTTGTGGTGAAGATGATGGATGCGGGGAGCGATTTGTGAGGCATAGTCGGAAATATTCTCGCTAGGGTGGTGTTCTGATGATGATCTTGGATGTGCAGTCATGGCTCGGGATGCTCGTGGCATGTTGTAGTAGAAGAGATGGTCGAAGGTTCGGGTCAAGGATAGTTTCGCAACGTACCCAAGTCCGTCACTCACCGGGCATGGGTCGGATGCGGTTTCGATGAGAAAATTACCTAAATATTCTATCTGGGCACAACTTAATGCCGTGATATAATGTCACTATTTACTTACACAACGTAGTGCGAAAAGTCGTAGTCCGTGCGTTCACCTTCACTTCTTGGAAAGGTTTCACGGGAGTGAACCCTGATCAGCGCGCAACGCGGTCAAATAGCACAACACAATATTACCATGCCGAGAGTTTGTTTAACGTCAAGCAATGGAACCAAACTTGAGAACCATTAGTGCATTATCTCATGACTCATGCCCATGCAAGGCCACCGAGGATTTGCGGAGAAGATTTGCAGGCCCAATTTATGTCAAAGTTTACAAACGAATAGATTGCCGTAGGGCATCGTGAAGATATTGCAAGCGCCTCTAAAGGAAGGAGATCACATCGTATATCAATGAGTGAGCGTCGATGCAGATTATATGAGGTGAGAGAACGGCGCTAAAACTTGCGGCTCGCTTGTCAAAAACGCGTCATCTCATTTTGGGTTCCCTCTGCTATGAAGGGTTGATGCACAAGTTCTTTACTTAGACTGAAGATGTTACTAAGGAAATCGAAGTGCATCTCCACAACGCTGCCTTTCGCTACTATGTAGGTGCGCTGATCTGGCCAAATTGGTCGTGTTTTGGACGAAAGGATTCTCGCAGGATTCCCAGGTCGTGGCAGTGCAAGTCGGTGTCACAGCGCTCCCTCTCCAAGCCTTCAATGTTTACCTCTTCTCCTCGTTCGCTCTTCTCCTACTTGCACCTAAGTATCCCCAACATTTTATCCTTTCCTTCAAACACACAAGATACAGCAGAGAGGGAGACTGGTTAGGCATGTCAGTTCCAAATGTAAGATACGGGCACAGGAATCACACATTCGAGTCGAATTCAATCCCACTACTCCAGTCCGACGCGTCCAACACCGGATTGTCAACCATCTCAGGGCAAAAGCGGTCAGAGGCAACGAAACAGCCATTACCGCCGTTCGACAAAGCTTTGGGCACGAAGAAATGGTGCTTCATAGGACTAGCCACAATATATGTTCTTTCCCTTGGGCTAATTATATGCGGGACTATCGCATTCGTAATAGCGGGAGAAAGGATACCAAAACATTTCTTTGAGATTCCAGCGGCATTCCGTCCCGATGCGACTCCCGTTCTGCTATATCCAACTGTAATTTTCGGATCGATGTCTGACAGTGCAAGGGAGATTACTATCTTGGCCATTAATACTTGTGTCACGGTGTCAACTGAAATCCTTGGTTACATTCATGCGACTTCGCTCCGTTGGGCCCTTTACCACGAAGGACGGCTCCATAGTAATTCTAATCTTCGGCTCTTTACATCCTGCCGGCAGTGCCGACCAAACAGCTGGTATGTAAACGTTGTTTGGGGCCTTCTCCTCACAGTCTCCTACAGTTGCGCCTCGCAGATTATTGTTGGTGCAGACGACATTCTCAGCCCGGGGGATGTCGGATTTAATAGTACGGCGATAGTGATCCTTGGCGCTTGTCTCCTCTTTCTTTGTATCCTGTCCACCTGGTCTTTGTTTCCTTCTTATGATCGGAAAATCCTCTCCTGGAGTTCTGATCCATTGAATACAACTCTGGCATTGCTGCATGACACATGGCAACGGCCTGAATTACACCCTGCTCGTCTCCCCAGGGCCGTTCAACCCCAAGTCACCTATGTATACTCCAGGCTGAAAATAGTGGTGGCCTACCTCTGGTTTCTCGTCCCCTTAATCGGCACAGGTGGCGGCGCTATCCTAAGGATCCAAAATCAACAGCTAGATAAGAGCTTCATAGCCGATTCGTACGGCTCAATTCCCACGTCCCTGCTCCCACCCTGTAGTGTAGTTGGATATTGTATAGGTTGGCACAACTCTGCACCAGCAGTAAATATCCTGTTTCTGGCCGCTGTACAGATTCTCTATACGCTAGCAATCCATTCCGCCGAGCAGCTTGTCAACCTACATCGGGACGAGGCAGTTTGGCGTTGCGCGTCATCCAACCGAGCCACACACGGCACTATCATTGCTAAAGAATCGACTAAGGCGGCTTTCACTTCATGGCAAACAGCGTTCCTGCTCGTCATGAAACCAGTCAGCCATTGGCTATTTGGTCTTTGTATCGTTGTCAACGGCCAGCACCTAATCGCGTTCCACCCCATGCCGCTCTTCACTCTTGCGGGTGTAGCAATCCTGTTGGCAGCTTTTGGAACGTTTTTGGCGTCCCATAAGCAAAAGGGACCACAGCCGGCTACATATGGAGACCTGATGCTCCTAGCGGAGTTAGTGGATGATTGGGGTGATGGTGCTGGAGGGAGACTCTTCTGGGGCGACAAAGGGATTGATACCTCTTCAGGCGGGAAAATCAGACTTGCAGGGACTTCTTCATGCAAAGGTGATGTTACAGAGATTATTAAGGACGGTGTGCTGTACAAAGGCCTCGGTCCTGGGGAGATCAAAAGGGAGGGACTACGATCTGGACTCAAGTCTACCTTTTCAAGGCTCATTAGGAGATGCATGGATGAATGAGCCGATTAAGGACCTCGATTATGTTTTCAGTCAAGTCACTGTCACGATATATCTCGCGCTCCTTCCATTAATCCAAAGTTTCACCATATCCCTCATAGAATTTCTCTCCGGCAAGAGCAAACTTCGAAACAGCGGCAAAGGAGATGATATCCGGAAACTAAAATGGAGCTATGTCTCCAAAGACATGTCTAGCACTGCTGACTCCCATTCACTACATGGGTCGGCAACCCGATTATCAACATCAACACCCGCGAAGAGAATTCCTAGGTGTGCTCGAGGCTAGCTATCGAGGTTCAAACTTCTGCCACCCTTGCACCAGGATTGAAACCAACGACCTTCACCACCCAGGTTACCCTTCCTTCCAATACATACCACTAACTGTAAACTTCCCATTGTCATCATTCCACTTCACCGTAGCCCCGGTTTCGGTTAAGTAGCGTGTAGCATACCGAATCCCCTTGCTCAGCCCCCAGCGACTCACATCATACTCGAGCACCCCACTCTGAAACTCATCAACCCTGAACTTAAATATGGTATTGAGCGTGTCATCTTTTCTCATGCGGTTGCGGGAGCTAGGGAGATTTTGAAGACCTGGTAGGAAGTTTCGCGGGAGGGGACGAGGCTTTCGTAGATGTAGCGCGCGGCGTCGGAGTTGTCAAGTTGGTTTGTACTACAGTTGATGTTGGAATTAGTGTCTAGATATAGGAGCTGTAGACAAGTGGTGGAGCTCCGGGGATTTGAGGGATGTTCTTACAATCATGAATTTCTGAACCCCCGAATCTATCAACGCCTGTACCTTCCGTTCTCCCCGAGAGGTGCAGCTGTTCATGTCGAACCTCGTACTTGTCCAGCATTCGCGCTTTCCTGTTCTGTTTGGGGAAGGATAAACAATGAGTTCTGGCTTTGTCATAGTATGCAGGTCGGCTTTAGAGAAATTCTGGTTTGCCTCTGGCATCAGATGTGGATGCAGATATAGAGGTGGCAGTGGGAGTACTCGTCGTGGTGCAAGATGTTCTCAGGCCAGATTTCTGAATACGTTTTAGTACTCTTCGCCTAAGCTAGATGTTTGGATCCGAACCTGGAGAATTATCGGAATTTGTAGTTGCTGCCACCAGAACGGGGACTTAGTTTACACGTCGCGGAACGGCATTTTCTTGGTCATTATGCCAGAATTATGGTCGTATAAATTTTGGGTGCAATGATGAAAGGGCCTGCGAGACTATGTGGCATTTTGTATGTGGAAGATTCAGTTGTGGGAACGAGGAAGCTGTACCCTAGTACAGATCATTCTACATGTCGCGCTGTCCCATGAGATTCAACGAATTTCATGGTGTCATTTTTTCTTAAGCACTTCAGAGACTCTAAGAATATATTATTGTGATATCTATAAAGGTTTTGCCATCGAATAGTTGAAACTAAGCCAAAAAGCTGTGCCGCAGTTCGGATTAGAATATCGCAGTAAACGACGCAATTCGGAAAGTTTTTGGGCTCTCGCCACAGAACTGTATGAACCACCAGCTCATACAGCTAAATACTTCATATACACCCTATATATACAAAACCTATGTAGATTCCCAAACTTCTCCAAACCCCTAAGCTTTTATCCCCAGCCCATAACCCTTATAAAAGCCCCTCGATAACGTCAATACCACCGCCCCACCCAACAACATAGTCCCCCCAAACACCCACACTGCATTATACCCACTGGCATCCAATATCGCGCCCCCAATCGGAGTCCCAATCAACAACCCCAATGCTATACACGCAAAACTCTGCCCCAGTCTTGTGCCAATTTTATGTCTGGCATCGAGGCTCAAATGCACGATAATCGTCGGCGGTAACGAAACAAACGTTCCAGAAAAGAAACCGTAGAATCCGATCAGCACAATAAGACCCGCAGACGTGTCCGCAGTGATGAAGCAGAAACAGAGAATTCCAGACACGAGGGTACAAGGAATAACGACGTTGTAGGGGCCGACTTTATCGGCGAGCCAATTGGGGATGATGCGGCCAAAGACAGAGGTCGAGTTCATGACAGCGAGGAGGTAAAAGGCCAGATCGGGCGACACGATGTGTTGTTCGATGGCATAGACTTGGGAGTAGAAGAATGGCATGTAGAGGCCGACGAAGCCGAGGAAGAAACCTAAGCAGTGGAAGGTGTAGGGGAGGAGTTTGAAGGCGGCGAGGTCGAGGAGAGAACGCTTTTTGGCGGGAAGGACGCGCACGCGCATGCAAGCGTTCGGGATGACCATGGTGCCAAGGATTATGAAGCCGATGACGCGAGTTGTCCACCCGAATCCGATTTGGGGGAGGAGTTTGTGGAAGACTATAGGGTAGATGACACCACCTATACAAGATCAGAATGTATCCTAGACTAGAAGGCGTGGGATTACTGACCTAGAGAGCTGCCAGCTGCCGCAATTCCAACGGCCGTGGCAACCTTTGTACTGAAATACGTACTCAAGATTGCAACACTAGGGACAAATAGCGCACCGCACCCAATGCCAATGCAGAATGCCTGCGCCAAAAGTACTTGGTAGTACTCTTTGCATAGACTGAGCATCATCTGACCAAGGACGAGCATAAAGGAGCCACTAACGAGAAGAATGCGGAAGTGCCCGGCATCGTAGACTGGACCTGTGATGGCTCCGACGATGAGCAGCAAGAAGGCCTGAGTGGAGCCAATCCATGAAATTGCGGAAGGGGTGGAGTCTGGAAGGAGGTCGGTTTCGTAGTAGGTCTGATATGAGCCGAAGGTATTTATTATTCCCCTGTGTATATATGTTAAGAACTTCTCATAAGCAAGACGACGTGATAGGGATAAGAGAATGAAGTCTCATATCGGCTATCGCCTTCATCCTTCATTGTCGAAGAATGGACCTACCAAGAATTAAAGAATAAAAAGAAAGCCCCTAAAACCTGCAACCAGGCCCAAAACCCACCATCTGGTATCGCCGCCACATTGTTCACGCTCGGTTGCTTCGATTCCACCGGCTCTAAACCCCCAGTCGGGTTCGTGCTATCAGTCACATGATCGTTCCTCTCTTCCTCTGCATCTACATTCTCAACTTCATCGCGGGAGTAGCTCTGTATTGAATCTGAGGATTCTGAGGGCTGCTTTTCGGGTTTCTCGTCGTAAGCCGTTGACCGGATATCGTCGTTGACAGATAAACGTGAGGTTTCATTAAGATTCCTCGCACGGCCCATCGTTTTTTGGTCGGTCTCGCGAGCACAACGTGATTGTGCGACCCGGTTGGTTGGCGTTTGACCCGATTCGGTGGGACAGGTTTCCGTAAGCCAGGAACTGATGACTGCGATATGTGGTCTAATGTTGTACCGAGATAATGAAATCGAAGATCACAAGATATTAAGAACAGCGAAAACACGGAAGAAAAAATTGAAGGATAGGGTGGGGAAGAGCTGGGAGAGCCAGGGGAGAACCGGGTGAGAACCGGCATGGTGGTGGCCATTAATAATTGAAAAGAAAGGCACAGCAACGATAGAGGAGCGGCACTTCGCTGTGTTGAGACCGCGAAACATCCCCGAGCAGACACGCACCTTGCCTAATTAACACCAGTGGCCTAGCCGATCATCCGGAAGGAAATGCTCAGGAACGTGACCAAGGCTTTTAAGGCCGCACAAAATCCGCCTCGTACGAGGGCTTAGTCCATGTAAAGCAAGGACATTAGCCGCATATAGTAATTCGAACGGAAGGGGTATCGTAATCAAAGAGGAAAGCTCCATAAATCTTCGTAACAAAAGGAGTGGTATGGACGGATTTCTTCAATCCTCATCAGGACATGACGGAGAAACATCGGATATAGCGAACGCGAAATCGGACTTAATACAGTACGCACAACTCCGAGTAAGATTTTGAACAGAACTAGGATTTGGTACATGAAGGTGTATTCGCTAAGTGCATGTTGACTATCTACTTAGGATGAATTCCAAATACAAACCCAATGTCAAAAGATTCTCCTGAAATGGCACTTCGAGGATAGTAAGAGAGAGGCAATCAGAGTCTCTATGACCCGCTAATGCAAGTTGAAGCGAATAAGAAAAAGTCAATGCCAAGTAAGTGATATACAGTACAACCCGTGTCTCGTGCCATCATAGACCTTGAAAAAACACAAATTTTAAATATAAAGAAGGGGGTATGCTACCTCATGCCGTACTTTTTTAGGGACCGCAATGCCTACACTCATCACGGTGCTGCCTTTTCGAAGGGAAACCATTGTGCCACCTGGACCGGCCAACGCCAATGCAACGCCCTTGCCGCTCGCTATGCAGAATAGAAAGTAAATACCTAACCGGACTTAACTGTTGAAGCCGCTCAAAACCCAACCAACAAAATTCGATCCCAAGACAAGCCGGTATATTGTCCCACGTGTGTCTCAGTATTGCGCATGAACAGGTGTGTTCGAGGCGCACCTAAACATGACTCGTTACGCGATTCTCTGTAAGTTTGTACCCAGAGCTGTGTTCTGAAGAGGATTCGACCCGTTCCTCCCAGTATAAATTCTCCAGGAGCGCCTCTAATAAGGTGCCGTCCTGTGCTGGCCTGATCTGATGCCTCAAGGCTTTCCTACGACGATTTTCGCGCTCCTCAACCGTGGCCCGCATAACCTGTACCACTACACTCCAGCCAAGCCGATTGGCAAGAGTGGGGTGATTGAACAGGTATTCGAGTACAGGTAAAGGCAGAGAGAAGATAACACTAGAGAGAATCTTGGTAATGTAGGTTGGCTGCATGTCATCCTCAGGTGGAACATCTCCGAACCGGATCTTGCTCAAACGTGGATTATGCGTGGGGTGCCGAAGTTCGACAACGCTTGGTATTCTCGGTTTTTGGCTCAGCTCGGGCGCGAGAGTGAACAGCTGGAAGTCGACAGGGAAGTTATAGGCGAGCCAGTCAATGACGTCGTACAACAAGGGAGTCTTGTAGGAACCATATGTGCCTCGGTGGTTTTGGTTATGAGCAGTCATATTATGACGGGAAGACGACGGCTCATTAGCGAAGGGCATGCCTCCTCCAAGAGCTAAGCAAAGAGCTTGGTCGAACGTATCCCATCGCAACAAGGCTTTGGCAATTTCAGCTCCGCGGACCGTCATACTATGTAGTTGGAGCACTTCGCCTGCAGCTGCATAGCTCAAGGCCTGATTCATGCGCTTGCGAGCCTCTCCGAATGTAGACGCTTGTTCTCCGTCGGTATGATACGGTTGCAGTCCATAGAGGAAAGAGTCAAGGGACAACAACGGGGATCCGTACAAAATTTTGATAGATTCAGTGAGGGCCTCGGCAGTGACTGTCTTGTTAGAGATGAAGATGTCGATTAAGGCCCGCGAGTCTTTTGATCTTAGAACTGGAGTCGCAGAACGAATCGCGGTGGCAATAGCCCGACTTCGAGCCACCACGATGCCGTGAACAGGCAAGGATATGAGCTTAGCGCCATCCGAGTGTATCTGCAGGATATAATCGGCATACTCAGGATTTCCAAATTGTGATGACAAGTAAGCGGCGAGCTCGAATGGTGTGTCTTCAAGCTTAGTATCCACAACGGGGATGCTGGCACCATTCTGGAAGGGAATCACATGAGAGTCGCCGCCGTGCTCTGAACCGATGTCTCCAGGCTGAGACTTGGTAGGCGAGAGCGTGGGAGATTTTGGAGTGTGGCTGGTACCATTTGTGGCAACTGGTGCGCGAGGGGGTAAATGACCCTGGTACACACCGTGGAGTGCAGCATGGTCAGCAAAGGATGGAGCATGGTAATCTCTGCCGTGACCGTAGAGAGCGTCTGGTGGTGCCATAGTATATGCAGGATACAGCCATGGTGCTGCGGCGTCTGAGGGGTGATGCGCATGGCCTGGATAGAAGGGCGAAGCGAATTGTGGAGATGCAAATCCAGGAGCAGGGCGGGGAATATACTGCTGAGGGCGCACCTCAGGCTCAGCTTCATGCGGAGTAGAAGGCATGGCGGGAGACTCTTGAGCAGCGCCAAAGACAATACCTTCAAGGCTCGGTTGTGGGCGGTGGGAGTGAACGTTGGTTGAAGCATGTACGGGAGACACATGGGCAGCTTCGTAGGTAGTCGCCTGAGCGGTGGATCTCTCAGAAGGGTAGAAGGGGGGAGGAAACTGTGCAGGCGGGGTAGCTGTAGGGTGGGTGCCGTTCATAGCGATAGTGTTCTGTTCGACAGAAGAGGTAGAAGACACGTCGTCGACGGCGGTTTGCTCTTCCTCTACACTAGGAGCTGCAAATTATTGGGTCAGATCGTGTCTCAGAGTGTGATTAGGGTGGCTGGGAGAAGAAGACGAACCTCGGGTATGAAGCGGCTCCTCAGCGTCATGGAGTCGAGCTTCCGATGGTGAGCTTGCAAGCACCTCTTCCTCGGAGCCGGCACTGTTGATAGCAGATGCTTTAGACTCAGGTGTAAGAGGCGCTTGCATACCTCCAGTGGCCTGATCATTGTCCTTCTTCTCCGTCAAAGCATGCAGGTGCGACTCCTGCGTCTCTTGGCTCACCGCTGTAGGTTCGGCCACTGTCTCCTCGGGAGTAATTGGGCGCGTTGACGGCGGGGCACGAGAGAGCGCCAATGGCACGGCAGGAATAATGCGAGGGATGGTCCGCTGTGCTCTCTTTTGCGAAGGCCCAGCGGTGTCGAGGATGTTTGGCGCCATGGTGGGCGGACTTGGTACGATTGGGGGGAGGCGGCAGCGGCTCCAAGATAATTGCGCCTGAAGGTGCCGATGCCAATTATCCTGGAGCGCACTGAGGATGAAGGAATGCGGGGACGGCTGGAGAGGGTGGAGGGTGTTTGGCCAATGTTGATGTGGGGATAATGACGGAGTTGGAGCTTTTCAAAAAGATTACTAAGCGGTTCCACACTAGTAAGTTATTGTTTCTTGGAGACACCCTGTCGAACAACCTGGAATCCCATGGATTCAATATACCACGCGCCACCCATCCACACGGAGAGTCAGATGGACAGAAGTAAGACTCAGTGCTCTTCCCTAGAAGTTCCCTTAGTAGTCCCAATTCCGCTCCCTGGTTCAGGACGAACCTGAGCTATCCTTCCGCCCTGTCGCAAACTATGGAACATGGTCAGGGCCGGCTTAGTCTAATCATTCTATTGCTAGAATTGATCTACTAAACACCTTTAGAAGAACTCCGAGAGGAATAAGGTTCCTTATTCTCAGTTAGATCCTAACCTGTTCTGCTACATGTACTCCCACGCAGTCATTCTTCTCATACTCTCCTCACTCCAGTATGGGCTTAAAAGCCCAGTTTCTCTTTGCCTAATTCCCTATCGCTCACGGACAGCAGTCAGATAGTTGAGTCTACGTCATATCCTCCTAACTCAGCAAGTGCTCTAGAGAGCGCGACTTCCATCTTCCCACATCCCGGTCTTTCAACCATGTCTTACCCTTCACCAAGTCTCTGTCGTCTTACAACAGCCTTTCTAGCCATGAATTAAACCGCTTGTCCAAGTTGGAACCTATTACAAATGCCCCTCACTTGTGCTTCCGGCTATTCTTATGTACTCGCTCTTTCTTCTTCCTTATGACCCGAATAGTTTCTCTCTTTCTTTTATATCTGTCTTCCATACTTCAGCGTCACTTCCGCCCTCTTTTACCTTACCCCAGCCTAACTCCTTCCCCGAGATCGTCGAACCAGAAGAGCCAACACGTAGCGTGGCTGCTCTGACACCATGTTTACCTCCTCCGCGGCATACTTCTTCCATGACTACCATTCCCTTGCTATCTTCACGCTACAGCCTCCTACGCGCGCACAATTTCCCCACCAACATCCCTATATCCCTAGATAGTATATCATCGACCCATAACAGACGACCATGGCCCATGGCCAGCTGCCACCAATCGGCCACGAAAGGAACCTCACCCGCCAACGACAAGCACCTCCACGACCACAAAAAGACGCCCGGTGTCGTGATTGCCGAGTACGGAATACCCCGTCGAACTCAGCCGTGTTTTCTCGAGAAGCATGTCCGCATAAGCGGGAGTTCGCTCCGTCGGGTCGGTCACCTTCCCACGTGCTTGAACGTAGGAGAATGTGTACTGAGACCGGAACAGTAAACCGCTTCAGCATCCTAGCGGAACTCGATCAGCACGCCAACCATACCAAGTGGAACTTCGACTTCCTCCAGACTCCGCATACTAGCGCTCGCAGACGCGGTAAGCGTGGCGGGAAGACCTCGAAGCCAAAGTTTGTAAGGCAGCAACCATATGAGGCTCCGAAGAGCGAGAGAGAAAGTATTGAGGAGCTGTGCAAGAAGATGGCAGGATTGTGTCTGGATGACAAAGAATCGAGTAATACTGGCGCTACTTCGCGGATCTCAACTGATGCTTGCAATGGAAGACGACAGAATGATTTTAGGCGCACCTTCGACGAGGTCAGACATCACTGGATTCCTCAATTCCGACCGAACTCGAATACCGCGCACCCTTCTATGCCAACAGCGCCAAGCAAGGCAGTCAATAATAACAGAATCAACCTCCTCTTGCGACCGGAACGATGTATGACTCACACTAATAGCCCCCCTCCATCGTTGAACACTCCCTTAGAATCGGCAGAGGTGAGGCGCAAAGAGTCACGCTTCTTCCCCTTGTCAGCCTTTCTCACATCACCGGAGCCTACAGCTACTCGTCACTCTACGTCACCACGCCTAAATACCTCGAATCCTATCAGACCCTCCATTCCAAAGAAGCCACTCTCCCTAGTCGCCCAAACAATTGCACAGAAGGCAGCAGCGTCGGCTGCATGCCGTGCCCTTACTGTACACAAGAAGTCAATAGCAGGGCACATTTCGAGGCCCGTATCGCCATCTCCTTTAGCGCTGAACTCTACCCCCTTCCTACCAACATATGCCCTGAGCGTGGCACCAGCAATTTCATCAGTGACATCTCCATTCACACCACTCGCAATAACACCTCCATTCACAGCATCGCCCAACCTGACAACGTCTCCCGCAGTCTCAACCGTTCCACCCGAGACAGGTTCGCCTTCAATTATCTCTGCACCACGGATACTATCGCCTGGACCATGCGGGATGCCGCCTGCGCTGCCGCCACGCCCACAGCCCCCAAATCCCCCGTCTCCAATACAGAACTGCCCACTAATTCAATTGCCCTCTATTCCGGCCTCACTTGCATCCGCACCTCTAGTCTCGCCGCGCATTCAATGGCCCGAGACGCCAGCTTCATTTCCCACTACCTCTCCAATCCTAACCCCAACCCCAACCTCTTCTGTATATCCAACTCCGCCGCCTCCAAGGCGTATCCCAGGTCTACTCCCCGCATCACTGTGTCTCACGAAACCCGCGCCCGAACCCATTGTTTCTTCAGCTCAAGATGTCGCTATCCCTTTTCCACTCCCGAGCGAACCAAGTCTACCCATAGAGCTCTCAGATCAAATTCGCAAAAATCTAAAGGAATACTTGGAAATGGGGCACGCGAATCCATGCTGGTGTACCTCGCACTCAGGCTCTCAGATACAGATCAAGATGCAGCATATCCATCCAGCGTCAAGACCTACCAATGGTCAAGAATACGAAGCCAAACTCCCAGTGCCGACTTCTACACCAATCACTAGCATCAAAACTAGCATCAAAACTAGCATCAACATCAACACCCACCCCCAAGCACAAACACAACCTCTAGCAGATACGCCCATTCCTAAGAGTCCAGCCCTACAGGCTACAGTCACGGAACATGATGCTTCAGACCTCGACTCCGTAACTCTCATTTCTTCGCCTATAGATTCGGATTTTCTGACTCCGTCACACTCGCCATCGGCAATAGATTCTGATTTCGAGGATCTATCGCGATACGAAGACTCGGTTTCATCCTCAAGGAGCGAGAGTGGTGGTGAAGATGAGTGGATGGTTGTGGTGCCAGAGAAGGGATATGAGAAACCCCATGCAATGAAATCGATGCCAGGAGGTATTCCAGGAAAAGGAGATGTTGGCATGCCAAAGGAGAGTGAGCAGAAAGATATGGAGGGAGTTGGAGGCAGAGAGCAGTGTGATAATCCGTGGTGCGACATGACTATGATAGTCATCGACTCTTCTTCGACTTCGCTAGAGGATGGTGACGAAGCGGTAAAGATTTCATTTTCACCAGTCGAACTCACGGTACCGAATGCAGCCCCTGGTAGTGCAACCTCAAGCACTTGTAACGTTAGAGGCGCCCCAGATTCCTCCTCCTCTCCTGTTCCAATCCCACGGGAAGCGCCAGCACCCTCTCCCACGCCCACAAACACTGTTCAGAACAAGTGCACGCAATGCGAAACCTGCACCTGCGCATGCACAGTACCAACAGCAGCAACCCCCATAACTGCAACATTAAACTCTAGACTAGACGACTGGCCCAGCCTTCAAGAGGCCATGGTCAGCATTCAGAGAACCAGGAGGGCTTCTTTGCAGAAAAAGAAGAAAAAAGTTGCCTGATGGCGTACTCGGGTGTAATGAGCTTGAGGGTTGAGTATTCCTGTGTGTAGGTAGAGAAGTGACATTAACTATAGAGAATAGAGAATTGAGAATTGAGCTTGGGCAGACCGAACTGGGTGGGTGTATATTTTCTTTCCTGTCTATTGACGGGATGTCCCTACCAGTCAGTCTTGATTGCTGTTTAACCATAACCCGGTTGGCTAGTTTATTTCAGTTTGTTTCGGTAATAGTGCAAACTGGCAGGGCCCTGTTTGACCATGAGGAGAGTGGGGAGTGAGATTGAGACTAAGATTGAGGTTAACTCAAAGGGATGATTTGTTAGACTGTCTTCTAAGTATTCCCTGGGTTGTTTCCGTGTCCGTGTTTATTTTTCTAGCGGTTTCCCTCCAAAACACCGCTCTCTTTCCTTTCTTTAGACCCTTCAACCTAGATGGCACTTGAAGCCAACGTGCTTCCTGTATGATCTCTCACCCCCATAACATCCCCCATTCCCTTTCCATTCATCTATCCACTAACCTATCTACAATCCAATCCTATTACTCGGCCTCCTCTACAACTTTCTGCACGTTCCCAGACCAAGCCCTCGGTCATACCATCTCCATCCGCCCAACCCTCCCTCCACGATTCCACTAAACCCGCCGATATTCGTCGTAGCAGATACTAGAAATGAGTACACGCATTTCGTAAACGATGTCTTGGAATTTCAGAGTTGTTGCGAGTGTAGGGACACCATATTCAGTATGTAGCCTGAGAACCTGGATTCCAGAATTTCTTCGCGGGAGTTAGTGTGGCGTCTGACGATAGATAGACGAGGTTGTTGTTATTGTCGTGGGTGGTGGAAGTTTGCGTTATGGTAGCGTAATCCTCTCTTTCCTCGATTCTAGATCGTTGCGGACGAAGACAACATTATCTCCGTGGAACAACACAACACTAAAACACCTCCCCCAGATTCAACAAATACCCCCAAACAACAAATCGCCAAGGTCCTACACCCGCTCTTACCATATCCCAAGACCCGCTAGTCTCTCCCCAGACATGTGCATTCCAATTTCTCTCCCTGCCACACGTACCCACCATCACTAGCTCCATTCCCAACATGCGGAAGTTTGGGGTGAAGGTCCCAGCAGGCACGTTTTCCGCCCAGTATAGCTCTTGTGCGAAGACCATGGTTCCAACGCGGGACGGGAAGATTTCGTCGTTTGGATAGGTTGGATGCTTGGGGTTAGGGTGTATGTTCTGTTGATTGCCGTGGTGGTTATGGTCAAGGTTGTGGTCTCGAAGGATCGTTGAGAGGAGAGAGTCAAGTTGATTCTTGCACTCTCGTTCATCCATGTTCATATGACGATATACAGACACATGGCAATCTTGCTGGACGTCGCAAACGAATTCTCTAGATACCATGTTCCATTTGGCCACATGGCAACGAAGAATACTCATTGTGCGGCGGTGCTGCCGCCTGCGGTTCCGCGGCTAAGGACGATGGCGAGACTGGTACGGCCGTCTTGGGATATACCGTCGAAGAGTCAGTCTCAATTGCTGTAGTGTTGAAGGAGGGGAGTATGGGGCTGCCGAGGGTGGACAGGGGTTTGGAGGTTATGGGGACGGCGGTGTTGAAGTAGTGGTTTGGAAGGGAGGTTTGTGTGGTGCAGGTAAGGTCGGGGTCATGGTGGGATGATGCTGGTAGGGAGAGAGGGAGGGGGAAAATGAAGGAGGAAAGGAATTATGGGATATGTTGAGTGTGAAACGCATGATGGGAGGGTAAGAATTTGGTAGAAGAGATCCAGAAAGTTGATAGAAGGAGGGCAGGAAACTAGAAACAGAAAACCATCGAGCTTTGTACATCTACAAACCCTCGAGGTCTGTCTTTGTCAGCTAGTCTACCCACTGAAAAGAGGCCATGCGAGGAGCCAACAGCAACAGTACCTTGAAATCCCAACTGCTCCTCACGCTGAGTCCACGGTTTCCACGAAGCCATCCCTGCGAAATCTGGGGTTGCAGGAGATTTCCTTAGGATCTTCGCTAAGATCCTTACCTCTTTGATTAGCAGCGCAAGAAATTCAAAATATCGGAGATCTCACATACTGCTTTGATTTAATGCGTGATGTGATGTTTGTGGACGTACTGAATATACGCGCTAACCTTGATGTGGAGGGAGGGCATCCTTGCAAGAATACCCTACCTAGACCTGAATCGTTCGAAAGACCCACCGTCCACGCGGCAGAGGAGAATCGAGACAAAGTCGATTTGGATAAATATGTTAGAGGCGCATCGAAGTCGATGTATGTCTCCCGCTCTTCCTTTCATGCAGATAGTACAGTACCATAGCTCGCAAGCCAGCTTTCCTTTCACCATCTTCAATGCGACGACCGTAGTCATAGGGCGACAACATTCAGCCTTGATCCATAATGGTCTACAAAGGAGAATTGGAAGCGTGTTGTGGAGCTGGGTGTACTTTGCCTGGCGTTGAAATGTGTTTGAATGCTTCAACTTGAAGCACAGGCGCAGGCGCAGGCGCAGGCGCAGGCGCAGGCACAGGCAGAAGAACAAGAACACAAACACAAACCCTCCTCCCAGGACCGGGATCAATCTCTAGCAGCGAGGACGACACCGACAGTCGTCACCACCTCTACCTCCTCAAATCAAAAACCGCTTCCGGCATCCGCCACCTCCTCGATTACATGCACGTATTTAACAGCACCGTCTATAGTCTCTGGAACACCCTCTAACTACAGCTCTAGTTCCACCTCCATATCTGTATCTACCATCAAGAAAAAAAAAAAGGCAAGGTTACAAGTACCCATATCCACCACCTTCCACGCCCCCCAAGCGATATCCTCTGGATGATGGGTGATTCACGGGATTTGATGCACTAGCCTAAGACTAGCTACCAGTGCTAGTATCAGCGACAGTGATGGCCGAGGTGGAAATAAGAATGCGAATAGTGGCCATAGTAGTGTTAGACTTTTAAACGGACTAGGATTGGGGCTGCAAGAAGGCTAGATAGTCTGCATAAAAGAACAGATTATTAGATTGGAACGCTTTTTTTCTTTTGCCCTACAGCTGCTGCATTAGAGTAAAGAGAGCGGATTTGGAGGGATTTTGAGGTCAGATACTCGGCAGTATTGGTTGGGGAAAGGGGTTGAAGAGTTGGGCGTGTTGCTGAGATTGGGTCGGGAGAGCTTGGATGGGATATTCAGGTTTGTTTCATTTCAACTCTACTTACCATATTCTGAAGTAGTTGTTAATATATTGTATTTACAGGCCTCAGGGCATAAGCCACACTTGCAGTTTATAAATGCTACGCAAATTCAAACCCCAACATCGCGCCAGCGGTAAAACACCCAATCCCGCCCGAAACTAGACGATCGCCACGTACTAACGCCAGGATATCATGCTTGTATATATACATGTCGTACCAAATGCTATTCTTGTGAAACGACGAGAATATCAACGTCCATTTTGAGGTCAAAGTTACTTCACATCACATCTCCATTCTTTCAGTCACGCTCGGTGCGGGTGCAGTTCCTCCATTACCTTCGTCCCCATCGTAACAGATCAAACCGAACCAGCCTTTGCTCTTACAAGTCGAGGTCGCTGACGTAGGCGTAGGGGTAGAATATGTTGGGGTTTCGGATGTGGTAGGATCGTTGCATCCGCCAAACCAGCCCGGATGCTTGCAGGAGAAGGTCGCTGTTGGGGTGGGGAGTGCGGAGGTTGTGGTGACAGTAGGTGCGGGTGCGGGTGTAGCAGACAGGGTGGGTGTTGGAAATTTGGTGGTTGTAGGATCTTTGCAGCCAAACCAGCCAGGCTAGAAACCTATTAGTTCATGTAAAAATTTGAGGGGAGGCGAGTAGAGCCTACAGTCTTGCAAGTCGACGTCGAGGTAGTGGTAGTAGTAGTTGTTGTTGTTGTCGTCGTCGTAGAGTCCGTAGTCGTAGACTCATCCAAACATCCCCACCACCCCGGCGTCTTGCACGTTTCCGTCCTTGTCCTGATCGATGTCGACGTTGACGTAGGGGGTCTTGAAGTCGTAGTTGACTCTGTGCCGTTGCTTTCGAAGAACTCCCAGGGATAACAGTCGGTACAGTTTACATACTGTTCGCACTTAGCCGGCTCGTCGTATTTTTCTATGACGTCTTTGATCACGCTAACGATCTTGTGCGTGCCGATGCCGACTCTCCAGCCCCAGTCTGTTACGGTGTCATATACGCATTTGAGACCCGTGTGGCAGACACTTTGCATGGCATACCCGCCGAAAGTGCAGCTGCTGCTTGCTTTGTTACATTGGCCCATGTACACGGGATCTGCTGTGTGTCCAAAATGAAAGCCTCCGGTCATTTTGCGCGTTTGGAGGGCGCCAATTTGGTGGCCAGGCGGAGTGGGGAGGCCAAGGCGAGATGCAGGCATGGCTTCTGGAACTGCCTCGAAGGTCACGGCAGGAAGGCCGTAGGTCAGTCCTAAGAAAGATGAGACGGCGCCTCCAAGTGAGTGCCCGGCCAACCAGACGTCGGCGTCGGGGTACAGCTCGGTAACGTTGTGGTACAGGTCTCTTGCGGCATAGTAGTAGCGGTTCTTGTCTTGCAGCGCGGTGACAAGGCAAGTCGAGTTGCACGTGTAGGCCGATGTTTGACAATCGCAGACTTGTCGCCACAAGTATTGCCCTCCCTGTCCACAGCAGCAGCTGAAGAATAAATTGTCATTTATTTTGTCGTTCGTCGTTGTCTCAGAGCCATCGAAGACTGCGGGCGAAGTCCCTTTGAGGCCGATGACGATGGTCCTGTTCGTTGTATCGGCAAAGATGTGTCCGCGCAGACCGTCTGTTTCCCAGCCAAAATCCTCGGTGTAGTTGAATCCTCCTCCCACATCCACCCAGTCGCCAGTATGCGGCTCCAGAACATACGCGTTGGACGCCATACGGGCAAAGCTCAGGACAGTCTCTTTGTCAGAGACGTTTGGGGAGAATATCTCGTCGATGGTCCAGTCGGAAGCGGCTAGCTGGACAGCTTTCCCGGTCATCCTCCCCCAGTCCAGAATGCCATCGATAGTCTCCTTGCTCCTGTCGACAAGTCTTTGTATATTTGTGGCCTCTGATCTAGCGCGTAGCGGGGGAACGGGTTCCTTGCTGGATGAATGCTCGTCTTCAGGCATCCAGACGGGCGCTGTTTCCGGAACATCGAGCTTCCTATGGAGATTTGGATAGCGGTAGGTTCCATGGTGGAAAATATGCCTGAGAGAAAACTCCTTGAGGGGGGTGTCGTGGGGGGAGGGAGTCGAGGGCGGCGGGGGGAGAATAGGCAGGTCAGCGGCAGCGGAGACAGCGAGGAAGGAGAGAAGTAAAGAGGCAGTCACGCGGCTCGCTGAAGGGCAGAGGCGTCGGCGGCGCATTTTGGGGATGTGAAATAGCGACAAAGGCAAAGAAAAGGTAGCGGTCGTGGTAGAGACTGTGCACTGTGTAGGGGTAGAATGGTGTTGGAGTTGGATATCGACGATGACGACGAGGGCTCACGGGACGCTGTGGCGGGTCATCACGCACGATGCGTCCCAGGGCCCAATCGCGCGGAGTCGGGCTTGCCCAGAGCTGCTAGCCATGGGAGCTCAGTTACTAGTTGCGGGGACGACGAGGGTCTTACACGGGAGGATGATCAATTGAGCAACAAATTCGGCAACAAATTTGGCAACAAACATTCACCGAGAAGACTGTTTCCCTATTGTGCCGTCCGCTTGCTTTCCAGTTTGGGCCCGACGCGCAGCACTCCGTCCGGTCCGAGCGGACGCCTTTTGGCTAAGCTTGGCTCGCTCAGTCAGTCCCTCCACCGCAGCCTCGCCGCACCATCCGCATGACGTTTGAGGCTCGAGCTACCTTGCTGCTGTCTCGGCGCAGGCACACGACTTGCTAGATCCCCTCTACATTCTCCCCTTACCTTAACTGACAGCAACGCAATGACCGAACCACCTAAGAATCTACACACCTCCAAGTCCTTCACTCGCCTCGAATCTCCCCAGTCCCACACTCCCCTATCCCGCAGTCGAGCAAGCACTCTCCAGGGCCCGCCCGTGCCGGATATCCTTGACCCGCTACAGGTCACTTTATCGCCTGACAGCGAGGACCCAAAGGATGGAGACATCTTCGCCTCACGTGACGACCAAGATCCCGAGGACCCGCCAGTGAGAACAGTGCCCGACACGTTTGAGGAGCTGCCTATCGAGATCAGGAGCCTAACAGAGAGGTGTGTATGCTCACCCACTGGATAATAGGTGCATCTTGTGGAGTAGAGCTGACGTACTATAGGTTCCTCGAGTCACTCTCTGCAAAAGTCCACCCCAGTCCGCTCTCTGCTGACGCTCTCTCCGACCTCTTCCAGGAATTCTACACCCGTGCTTCCACTCACATCAGTACCCACATAGCCACGCTCTCGTCCAGATTATCAAGAGATACCTCCGCGTCTCCCGCACCCAAGAAGGCCTCTGTATCCAGCAGCAACAGATCCAGCTCTCTAAGCTCACGAAAAGGCACCGACAATGTCGGCGAGCAGCAAATGCTTTCCGTGTCAGAAATGGCCGACCGGAAGAAAGCTAGACGCCTGCTTGAGGTGAAGCGTGCTGCACTCGAAGAAGCTGTAGAGCGAGCCGTGTGTGAGAAAGTCTACGAGAGAATATGGCGACACCGGAGTACGGATGACGAAGAGAGAGATCACAAGCTTCGGTCGCGGACGGCAGCCCTTAGCCTGGTTGGCATTGGTCTTAAGGAGCTTCTGATGACTGCCGAGGAGCTGACTGAAGAAGAGCGTTTGAAGACCAAAGAGAGGGAAGGCGAAATCCGGGAATGGCTATCCTCTGCCCGGGACGACATCCGGAAGATGGACGAGGAGAAATACCCCCTCGGAAAACTGCACCATCTTACCGCCGCACACAAGTCCATTGTGGAAGCCTTGTCGAAAGTCTTCCCCGCCTCATCATCGGCTGATGAGATCCTCCCGACTTTGATCTTCACCCTCATCACATCACCTCCAGAAGGCCTCAACGCTATTAGTAACCTTAAGTTCATCCAAAGATTCCGTGGCTCTAGCCGTATGGATGGAGAAACTGCTTACTGCCTGGTCAACCTAGAAGCGGCTATTTCGTTCCTGGAGACTGTGGATCTTTCCTCTCTTAGAGCAGACGAAATGCGACCCGAGAAGTCAAACTCACGGCCGACTACGCCTAGGTCAGAGATCACTCCAATGCCGCTTGGCCTCGCACAGGCTCCAGACCTGACGCAAACACCCGCTACGCCGTTGAAAGAGTCAGCTGTCAAAGCGCCGCCGAGCCCTACGACCAAGGCCCAGCGTCGACTTAGCAATCTTATCCAGACACAGACGAACAGGATTGAAGCTGCTTCCGATGCCGTCCGCGATTCGATACTTGACTCAGCCGATCATGCAATGGACACCATCAACAATACACTAGAGACCAGCTTCAAGTTCTTGTTCGGTCGAATGAAAGAGCAAAACCCAAATAGCCCTATCCAAGAAGAGCCTAAACTTCCAAAGACACTGGCCGATGCGAGAAAACTAGTGAGCTCCCCAATCCGTGTCGATAGAGGAGACGACGACATGGGCAGTGTCAGCGCTGCAAGTTCTGTGCTTGGCGACGAGCACCAAGACGACAGGAGCAAGGATGCAGGTTCTAAGATGACGGATCTCTTCGGTGGAAGACGCGGAATCCGGGACCGCAGCGTCGATTCGACGAAATCTGGAGGGAGCAATAGTGGGAAGCGGGTCGCCTTCACGGCATCTCCCAATGAAAGCAAGACGGCGCAGGCGCCTGCTGGTAAACCCGAGTCTCCGCCCGCTCCAACCAATACGTCGGCCGTCGACTCCATCCGAAATATGGGCAACAGTCTCAACCCACTCAACCGCTTTGCAAGCATCAACATGATTCCTAGATTTGGGCGCACCGCGAGCAGCACAGCGAGTACACCTACCATACCAACTCCTGGGGAGCCTAGTAAGCAGTTACCGCCGACTCCTCCAACAAACCGGTCTGCTTCTGGTGAAGTGGCGCTGGTTGACGAGAAAGCGGCTAGGGCCGTGGCGGCGATTGAAGCGTTGCGCAAAACGACGCCTCCAGTCAAACGCTTCTTGGAAGCCAAGGATGCGCAGGACTTGAAATTAAAAGAGGTAGATGAGCTGTTGAAGGAGTATCAACGGTTAGCAGGCGCATTGAGGCAGGCTATCAATTCTGGATGAACTGCAAGCGGCATGTATCTGCCATAGATAGAGGCGGGCTGGATTTGGATGTCGAGTAAAAGCAACATGTCGCTACACACCACGGAACATAAATAGAAGGGTTTAATTTGCCAAATGTCCTGCCAGAATCACAGAGTACATCCAGAGGATTCCGCCTTCTGTCGCAAATTGGATACTTGCTATGTTCTCTCCTGAATGATGAATTAAAGAAAATATTTAGGGCCAAAATTTTGCGCTGCAGCTGATCATTACGTGTAAGTTATGAAGATGAATTTTCATGTTCACTTCTCCACATGAAATAGTTGACGGCATGAAGCATCACGTTAAAGTTGTTAATTTTATGTCCTGAAACCGATACGACCCCAGATTTTTGCTCGCGTTGCACTGTGCACGGGCCATTGTCAACAAGTAAACAACACGGCGACCTCAGATCTTCCCACGCCGACTAACCACAGCCCGACCACTTATTCGACCACCCACTTCTACGCAGACAATATGGTAGAGCCGCTCTTGAACATCTGTCCTGAAAAAATCAATTCCATTCCTATCGGCGATGACGACATGACCTGGCACGATCCTCCGTCTTCTCCATTTGTTTCCCACATCGAGATGGATGACCAGGAGAACATTCCGCCGGCAAATACAGCTCCAACGCCGGTCAAAGCTGGTCTGAGCCTTGATGACGACGTGCCTCAGTCTGCCTTCAAGATATCGTCCCCTTCAAAAGCCTTTGGGCTGAAAGATAGGACTTCGCCCGTCAAGAAGTCTCCAACCAAGCACATGGTTGATGAACACGACGATCCAACCCTGCGACACAATGCCGAGGACCGCAGCAGCCCCAAGAAAGTGTCTCCAGTCATGCCGGTGATGATAGAGCGACCTGAGTCGGCAATGAGTGAACGATCGCGCACGAGCCGGTCTCCCTCGAAGCCGTCCCGGACCAATTCAGTCGAATCAGTTCCCCACCTCTCGAACTCACTTCATGGCCCCCACCTCAACAACTCTCCTCCTTCTAAGCACGATCCCTTCCACGCGGCACCAACCCTGCGCGATAACGAGGGCTTAACTGTTGCGATGACGATTATGGAAGAGACTCGGAGCGTCACTCATGAGAGTTCGACAACGCACCATTCTGATAACGTATTCTTCGACGATAATGAGGATGACTTTGGCCACATGGTAGAGGATTTCGATGGGAACCCTGATGGTCCAGACATGACGTCCTTGACTATCGACGACACCTGTTTCAGCGCCTTTTCGGAAATGCCCAACCTCGACATGACCAAATTCGCCGTAATAAGGAACAGCCCTACCAAGAATGGATTGGCTGATCAGGTAAGTCTTGCTGAACATATTCTGACACAGAGTGGAGGAACTAATGAAATAAAGTCAACGCCTCGAGCGCGCACCCAAATGACACCTTCCACTGCACGGCGGACCGAACGCACACCATCTCCAACCCCTCGTCGGTCGCAAAAAGAGAACGACACCACCAATCTACTACTTGACTTCACCGCCCAATTTGAGGCCTTTTCGTCCACCCGCCGTTCTCCAATCCGTGGTCGCACATCTCCCGTCAAATCCGGAACCGAACCAAATCTACTCTCCTACATCCAAAACCAACGCTCCCCAGCCAAAGGTTCCTCATTCGTCCCTTCAACGCCCAGTCGCGAGCGTCAGCACATGCTCAATCTCCTCGATTTCGAGCTCCCTCCCCCACCTACCCCCCGGTCCATCCCCACGGTTACGATCCGCGAGTTGGAAAGTCTAAAAAGCACATTCCAATCCCAAATCTCAAGTCTCACAGCCAGTCTCTCCGGCAAAGAAGCCGAAGTCGAGAGTCTGGTCAAAGCCGTCTCTAACGCGGAACGCCGTGTCGGAGAAGCGCAAGAGCTCGTTCGCGACGAGCGCAGTGCGCGCGAGCACGCAGAGGCGCAAATGACAGACTGGAAGAAAAAAGGCGAGGAGGTGCAGAAGCTGCTGCAAGACGTGCAGTCCGAACTTGCGCGCAACGACTCCGAACGCGAATCCCTGATCTCCCGTATCACGGAGGCGGAAAAGCGCGCTGAGGACGCGGAAACCCGGGCATCAGAGCTTGAAACTAGAGTAATTTCAGCGGAGAGTAAGAATGTTGATATGACGACTTTTATTGGTGATGATGATAGAAAGGTTTACTCGGAAGCTGAGTGTTCAGCAGCGATCGCCGAGAAGGTTAATGAGGTTGCGAGGGATTTACATACGGCGTATAAGGCGAAACATGAGAAGAAGATTAAGGCGCTCAAGGATAACTATCAGAAGAAGACGGATGAGAGGTGTAAGGAGCTCAGGGTGCAGATTATTCGTCTGGAACGCCAGGTGGAGGAAGCGGACAAGAAGCGCGACGATACCTTTTCTAAAGTTCTGCCTGCTGTGCTCAAGACCCCCGGTTCGGAGAGTTGCGAGAAATGCGGGAAATCAGACGCAGATGCTCCGATTCCGCCCAAAGCTACGGTTACTTCAGCAGAGGACTCGAAGCTACTCGAAACCCAACAAAGCGAGATCCAAAACCTCAAAGCGAAACTCGCGGGCTTGCAATCAGAACTCTCGTCAATCCGCAAATCCCATGACGCCCTGTTCCAAGAACTCGAGGCCGAGCGCGTGGAGAAAGGAGAGCTGGTCGCCGCGGCGGAACAGATGCTCGCCATGTGTGGCGAGAAAATGGAGGAGATTCAGCAGGAGGAGTTTAGGAAGAGTCAGATGGGATCCGCGCCTACGCCTACGCCTACACATACGCAAATAGCTTCTGCGACTCGCGCTGTGGGGGGAATTGCGAATGGGAATGGAGGTTCTAGACCGGGCTCCGCGCTCGCGATGGGTCGGCCTGGAAGTGCGATGGGTGAGCGTCTTGGGGCTATGGGTGCGGAGAAGGCGAGTGGGATCGCGAAACCGAGTGGGTTGCGTGCTCCAGGTGGATTTGGATATCAGAGTGGTGCGCAGGGAATGAGTCGGAGTACGAGTGGTAGCAAGAGTAGGATTATGAGTAACATTGAGAGGATGGGGGGCGCGAGTAGGCAGCAGCAGCAGCAGCAGCAGCAGCAGCAGCAGGAGTAGAGGTGGGAAAGGAAATAGAGGCACGGTGTGTGGGGGAGACAGAGTGCTTGTGTATAGTGGCGTTGTTGGTTAGCTGAGTTTGGAAAGGAGTTTGGGTTTTGGTTACAAGTATTTAATGGTTTCGCCTCTTTGGGTTCTTGTACTTCCCTAGCGTATTAGATAAGATAGCCTTGATATCACGCATCGTTCTGTGCCGTAACTACCGTACTCTCCTATACCCTCCAAGTATACATACAACTGTAGATCCTCGACACCCCATCTTCCCACTCAAACCGAATTCCAGAATCATACAATCTCTATCTATCACACTCTACCAATTTGTCCATCTAGTGGGTTTACAAACCAAGATATGAAAAGTGTACATCTCTCTCTCCCCCGGGGGATATCAAAGCCAGTCCACATGTAGTGGGATCTATTCGCATCTTATTCTTCGTACTATTCCTCATTCGAACGAACTTAATTCTACACAGCATAGCACTGCATAACAAGGCAAAATAGAAGAACAAAGGAAGGATAAAGGGGGGATCTAATCCAATGCAATACCAAATTTATAAAATTAGGGTGGAAAGTTTCCAAGACGTGATAAATCTGTCCAGCGCATGCTACCTACCATGTGTACGAATCTTCCACCATTGTTACGCTATTCAGCTGCAATACGTGCATAAACGATATAGATGCCTCCAATGCGAGCCTTGATCGCCAACTGCCACTCATATACCAGATACCAGACGCCTCGCTTAAATTCCAATTCCAAAAAGATAATCCCATGGACAAATAGCTATCCCCTCCATAGATATCTAAATCCTCCGGTCCCACTTCAACAAAACCCCAACAAGCAAAACCTCACTCCAAAACCCCTTCCCCTCTCACTCCCCTTGCCAAAACTCCCACCCCCCACCTCACAAGCCCCCTCTCTGTCCACCCCCACAACTCATCCTCACATCTCCACTCCAATCCATACACTACGCCCAAACTCGGCAACTCTACTGGCTCCAACACCACACACTCCTTCTCAAACCTCATATTCCTGTAAAACTGCCACCCGCAGCCCTCAATAAATGCATAATCCCCCGGCACCCCTTCCTGACCCGCAAGACTGTATTCCGGGTCTAGAAAGGCTTGTGGATCCATGGACCAGATTTTGACAGTCTTCCAAGAGGCGATTGCGATGCGGTGGGCGCGGGGCGAGACGGCGAGACGAAGGCCTAGAGTGGAAAGGTTGTGGAGGTCGGGCAGGCCGGCGAGGCAGGCGACGAAGACGTGGTGGAGAGTGTGATAGTCGCGTTCTGGGTTGAAGTGTTTGCAGGTGCTGGGATAGTGGATGGCTTTGAGGAGGAAGGCGCCAGTGCGGGAAGCCAGGCCGAAGGATTCGTCGCGAGAGATCATTAGTTCGAGGGCCTGGAGGGGGAAGTTAGGTTGAGAGTTGAGATTTGAGGCAATGGTAGCTTACCGTGTTCACGCATGTTGGCTCGCCGTCGTTGAGGTCCTTTTCTTTGATTCGATGGTGGTGGTGGTGCGCGATGACCTTCCCGAGTGATTGTTTCGGAAAAACTTCGACAACGTCAGGGAGATACGTATCCCGGCGTTCAATCCTCTCGCCCAGGTTTTGCAGCCTCGGAATGGTCCACTGAGGTATAGGATAAGCTGCTGGATACAGGTGTGCATATTTATTTTCGTGGATGGTTACTCCAGTGATACGTTCGTTGGGAAACTGGATCCCTGGACCCAAGGTCTCGGTATCCTCCTCTAACGTGTGCGTCTCTGCTGTGGCGGTTAGTCGTTTTTTGAAGCGGGCAAAGCCTTGCAGTAGGAATAAAGGGGCACTGCAACTTAGTGCACTCCCTGGAGCATAAACAGGAGCGAACCCTTTTCGCGTTTATAAAATCGAAGGGAACGGCACAATGAAGCATACTTGCATCGTGGTCCAGGACTCGGATCATGTTTTGGGTGAACGTGTCAAGATGAGACATAATTTAACGTAATACAGGAACAGGAACAGGAACAAGAACCAAAAAGAAAATAAGAAGGTCATAGAGAAAGGCAAGCCATACCTGCTGTAATCTCATCCGTCACATTACGATATATAACGACATTGTGTCCAAATCCTGCACCGAAATCCCGGTATACTATCACCGGACTACCCTCACCGGAAACCGCCATAGCAATTGGCTGTGAGTGGGCTCGAACTTCAAAAGTGTCTGCCACCATCGGGCCAAAGTCATCATCAAGCCTGAAGACAATGACCTTCATCCAATCCGAAGTATATGGAGAATCCTTCCAGAACGCTCGATATAAGACGGCCACCCGCGGTAGTGTGTCGACTTCGTATATTGCGTCGAAGACAGCGACTTTGATAATCTCATATTGAACCGGTAGGTTGCCCGGTACAGGGAAGTATTCGGGTAGACAATGTGAGGAGATGACGTGGGTCAACACGGGACGGTGTTCCTTAGCTTTGTTGGGCTCCAAAGAGTAGATATTGATTGTCGCTTCGTCCGAGAGAACTTCGAGGAAGCCCAAGTCGTTGACAAAAGCATTCTCAAGCGACGAGCCCTCCTCATCCGCCATACTGGAGGTGATTTTGCTAGCCCTTCTATCTGCGCGCCGAGAAGTGCGCCAGACGTAGGTATCTGCCATCCACGATACCCCATTTGTTAGGTGTTGGGCGGCCCGTTTCCCAAACACCTTCATGAGAGCCTCAGCATTATTGTTCTGCCGCAATCGAGGATTCCTGGGCCCGGGAATGCGGTCGAGATGATCTAACAACAGACTAGTTGAGTTGAGAGCATGGGAGCGGAATAGCTTGCTCGTCAGAAGACACATGTAGAAGGACTCAGGGTCCAAGGTGTGTAGTATCTCCCTTAGGAGCTCTGCGGGGAGTTCAAGGAGCTTATTGGCCATAGGAGGTGGGGGAAGTTGAAGCATTTCGAAAATTTAAACCTATCCAGAACCACATAAGCATACTTTCAGTGATCAAGATGTTGCAAGCATACCAAATATAGTAGAGACGTCAAATGCGACCGGCAGGGGGGAGAATAGGAACCGAGCAGGGAGCTCTTGCAGTATCTAACTATACAATTACCAGTTTCTCTATGGGTTATGCGATGCTGCCATAAATTGGGAGGCACAATAGTATATTTGGTAGTTAAAGTGAGTGACTAAGGGTGGTGGTGAAGGACTGTGTTGGTGGAGAATAGGCTGCAAGCCTTCTGGGCACGACTCATATTTTGAGGCGGGCTTAAGAAGGAGTAAGCAATCTCAGGCACAAGAGCAATAGAGCCGCAAGCCGAGAACCTCCGCAGCTGAAAGGGTGAACTACTGAAAGCCTAGGTCTATTGACTTCCGATGGGGTGGGAGAGGGGAGCGGGCGTGCCAGGCAGAGCTGTACGATTATGCCCCCGCGTTTTGGAGCCTCAGGCACTCATATCCGGGCCTGCTTTGCTGCGATTGGCTAAAAAATCACCTTCAACCATCTCGAATCTATAAACTAGCGAAGCTCTATTGAACTGGCACCGACAACCGAAGAAGTGACACGTCCTGCCCTGCCATGCTAGAATTAAAATCAAATACAAAGGATGCACGTCATGCCCATAACCTTGGAACCAACAATATCCTTACCAATTATGCAGTACTCAACAATATTCAATTGATGGCATCTACACAGGACCTCTCTGCTGTTGCCGCCTCGCGTCCCTGGTCCGAATTGTAGCGATTTCCAACACGTGCACTCGCGTGGCATTATTAAAGAATATGCATTGCTTTCATTGTACCTAGTGAGATGCTAATAGATCTGAGTAGCAACAGGAGCTGGTATCGAACACCTATTCCCATGCTTCACCATACCCATTTACCATTACCATATGACTCATATCACAAAAGCCGCAAACTTTTCATCTTAATGCAAAAAACCAAGCATGCCGTGGTCGACATGTAGCTTCTGCCCTCTCTTTCAGTTGATGTGAGCTTCAACGCCTCGATGGTCCTGTCAACGCTTGAGAGCTCCCAGCGAGGTGAGGTCAGTTTGGCCCATTCGCGGTTCCGTTCTTTGATCTCCGCTCCGCAACAGCGGCAGCGAGTTCCTCGAGCACGGTAACCGTCGACTCCCAATCTATGCAAGCATCGGTGATGGAAACACCCTTTTTCAATCCGCTGGGTCCTTCGGCGGGGACTTTCTGGTTGCCCTCGTTGATGTTTGATTCGATCATGACACCGATGATTCCAGTCTCGCCTTCGCGGACCTGATCAGCGACGCACTTTGCAACGAGGGGCTGGTTTCGATGGTCCTTGTTCGAGTTGCCTGAGCTCCATCAGCATCCACGAGTCAACAGTACGTTTTGAGAAGCATACCATGTGAGCAGTCCACCATCATGACCTCCCTCTGGCCCTTCTTCCTCAAGGCCTCTCTTACAGCCTTGATGCTCTCCTTGTCGTAGTTGGTTCCCTTGGTTCCACCACGGAGAATGACAAAGCAGTGTTCGTTACCAGTTGTGCGCGTGATAGCCGCAAGGCCCTGCTTCGTTACTCCCATGAAGTGATGCTTGGCTGCGGCAGCTCCGATAGCGTCAACGGCTACCGTTAGACCACCATCTGTGCCATTCTTGAAACCAATTGGGAAAGACAGGCCAGAGGCCAATTCACGATGCAATTGCGATTCCGTGGTTCGCGCGCCAATAGCCCCGAGGGAGATTAGGTCGGCAAGGAACTGTGGGGAGATGGTGTCTAACATCTCACTGGCAATAGGCATACCCAATGATGTAAGATCACAGAAGAGCTTGCGGGAGATTCTGAGACCCTTGTTGATTTGGAAGGTTTCGTCAATGTCTGGGTCATTGATAAGGCCTTTCCAGCCAACTGTTGTCCTAGGTTTCTCGAGGTAGGCACGCATGATGATCACAAGTTCCTTGTTCAGCTTGTCGGCGGTGGTCTTTAAGCGCTGGCAGTACTCGAGGGCTGTAGCGGGGTCATGGAGCGAGCAGGGCCCAACCATGACAAGCAGACGGTCGTCCTTCTGGGTGACGATCTGGATGGCATCTTGGCGACCCTGGATGACTGTTTCTTCGGCGTTGGGAGGAATTGGGATCTCAGAGGAGAGGAGCGCCGGGGGGATCAATGGGTCGTAGCCGAGAACTAAAACAGGGAATGTCAGTGGTGAAAGACGAATTGGCCGAGTATGAGGACTTGCTTCGCACATCGTCGCTGACGTGTTTGGATTCAAGCGCAGGCATCTTTACTACGATGGACGAGTCTTAGAGGAACGTATGTGTGTGTGTGTGTGTGTGTGTGTGTGTGTGTGTGGGTTGGTGGGTGTGAGAGTGAGTGGGTGTGAGAGTGAGAGTGAGTGGGGGTGTGGGTGTGAGTGTGTGTGTGTGAATGTGAGTGAGTGTGCGAGTGTGAGTGTGAGAGTGCAAGTGTGTGATTGTGGGTGTGATTGTGGGTGTGGGTGTGGGTGTGTGTTTGGGTGAGTGGGTGTGTTTAAAGGCGGAGGATTTAGGAATAACGGAAGACTAGAAGAGGGGGAAGGATCCTTCCTATAAAACCCCAGGGCCGGAGTCAGAGGACGGACGGTGACGGATTTAAGCAATTGGCAGTTGCGGTCTGTCTTACTGAGCTTTTTGTTACGCCACGGAGAGTGAGGGGTACAGCTCCAACAGGAGCTCGAATTGCGCACCAAGGTTAACGCACGAGGTCAATTAGAGAGCGAATACTGGGGTATGGCGAATTTTGGGGAGTGAGAAGTGTCTCGACGCGAGAGGCGTAAAGAGCAAAGGTGAAGAGGGTGTGGTGGGGCGAACGAGTTTGATAGAGTCATTCACTCGAATAATTTTTATAAAGTGTCCCTTGCACAGGCGCGGCTAGCGGCCCGCCTCTCACCGCAACACATCCCACTGATCCACGTTCTTGGGAGCGCCAAACCATGAACTCACCCCTCCGAAATCCGCCGCCAGACGCCGCCAGACCCTGCTGTACCTCCCTGCTGTACCTCCCTGCTGTACCTCCGGAGCTGGTAGTCCTCACCATTAACTCACCATTTTGAGTGAGCATTCATGCACCTTGCAACGAAACCTAATAGCAAGGCCGCTATCATATTACTTTACCTAAGCCCGTATTCGGCACCCAGGCACCGAGGCTCCCAGGCTCCCAGGCTCCCAGGCTCCCAGGCTCCTGCCCTTAATCTGCCCTGAATCTGCCCCTCGTCGTCCCTCCACCAAGCAGGCCCTGCGCCCCCTCCCCAGCTGCGGCCCCCCTGCTACTATGGCCGCAAATCATCCTCCCCAGCCACACCTCCAACCTTCGTTCCGCTGCTCCCCTCGTGCCCTGATCATCTCGCGAGGGGATAGCATCACCACAAAGGGCAGGCCGGCGTCGCAGTAAAGCTTGTCGCGCGCTCAAGCCTTTGAGTGGTTCGTCGTCTAGGCGTCAAAGTCGCTGCATCCGAGCCCATCTGAAACACTCCAGACGTCTCTTCTGGCGGCTTCCCCTGATCCGCCACCCCTCCTCCATTTGGTACAAAACACATGCCGCACCCAAAAACACCACGCCCTTCTCTTATCGAATCTTCCACCAATCTCCCAGACGATCCCGCTCACTGCTGCATATAGCCTGTTCGCCTTGTTGACCACGCTTCCCCCATCACTCCTCCGTCGCTGCATTAAGAGATAGAATAAACAATGTTGGCGTTTCAGCCCATGAAGCGCGCCCGCGAGAACGACTCGGACTCTGATGACGAGAGGCACATCAAAGTGCGTCGTGCTTGTCATCTGCCTGTGCATGAGTCCCCAACACTAACGTCATGACAGAAAACTCGCCCATGGAACATCCGGGCACACAGCAATGGCCGCGCACATTTCCCATCGCCCTCAAGTCTGCCCCTACGCCACTCGTTCACTCCGTCTCCTCCATGTTCCACTCCAGACTTCGAGGAAATTACTCCAGCACCCTCGGAGGCCAGCGAGGCCAACTCCCCAGCCCCCCCGCAAGAAGACCGCATCATCTTTTCGTCCCCACATGACGGAATGGACATGGACCTGGACCTGACAATGGACGACGACGACTTCGACATCATCGGCAGCCAACCGCCAGATTCCCCGCTCGTCCCCTTCGCCCTGCGGCCCGCAAAACTCAATCCCCAAATAATCGCCGACTCTGCTTCAAACAACACAGGGCGCATACCGACTCCAATCTACCCCAACTTCCACACACCCCGCGGTCCAATGAGCATAGCAGGAATGGCCGGCTTCAACTATCCCAACAGCGGCATGGCCGGCGGCTTCACCAGCGACAACACCTATCTCGGCGTCCCACCAGTCCCGATCCAGCAACCCCCAGCCTCGCGAAAGAACTCCAGAGATCACGACCAAGACCGCAGCCGCCGAATGCCATCTCCCATCTCCGAAGACGAAGACATCCCCGATACGCCCACCGCACTCACGCAATCCCAGCTCTCGAGATTGACTGTAACGTCCCACAACCCGCCCTCCGAACACATGGATGTAGAGGGGAATACTGCCCACGGTGGCAAGGACGGGCCACCACCAGGCGTCGTTACAACACCGAGTCGCGGGCGCAAGAGAAGCGGAGCTTTCACTGGGAAAGGGCGGTTTAGCATGGGGTATCGTGAGGATTGCGAGAAGTGCAAAGCCAAGGTTCCCGGGCATTATTCGCATTTCCTGCCATGACATTTGCGCTTCTATATCATGGGGCCTCTGCTCTAAGAAAGGGCTTAAGCAATGCATGCTCAATATTCGCCATGTTTAGAGAAAAAGGTCCTTTGGCAGGGACACGCGTGGGTTCAACTGGCTCGATTTTTGGGGCGAGAATGGTTATGGGGTCTGGCGTTGTGGTCCACTGGTTTAGCGATGATTTCGATGAATAGAAGAGGGGTTTATGATCATTCTCAGCACCCACTAGGCCTATACCTATGCAGTATCATAAAGCATGTTCCACTATCTGTTCACCCATTTGAATATTTTGCAACTAAAGAGTCTATTCCCCTTCCCTCTTCTAGCCCCTACAATTTCTGCTTTCCTCCTAAACAATATTAAGCTAGCTTAGATACCTCCATATCTGGAGGGCTTTGGCTCCGAAAATGCAGGACTTTAAGCCAGCAATTTCGTGAGCCCGGAAAATCATAGATCTGCAGTCGACCCATGCTCAATATATCTCTATTAATCACTGTATAATCCTCATTAACTATCAGAAGCTTCCCATGTTCTGGTTTTATTTTTTTTATTTTACTCTGAGCCTTGCAACCTTCATCCCCTCCTTTTCTGCCTGCTCTCTCCTATGCATGGCAGATCTGTGCCCATTACCCTGTTATACCATTCCTCAACGTCAGTACGAAGGCAATTGTAGCCGCACAATGCCCCCAGTCTGCAATATGCTGATGGAAGATTTCAGGCGTCATTCTCCGTCTCTGGTGGATTCACCTCCTACTTTGTTACTTTTATTCCGAATCCTCGACGCTATCACTCCCATGACCTTGCGATGACTTCGAGAACAGCGCTCCTAGAATTCGCTAAAGCTCAATCTCCATGTCGCTCCAGAACTGACCCGAGCGGTCACGTCTATGTCACACACCGAAACCTGTCCAATCAATAAAATGCATCATCAAGGATGATACCGCCTTTTCTTGACTACACCTCAACGGGTTCCAGAGTCGAATCTCCCAAGGCTGAAGACAGTAGGCGCTCCAATTCTAAAGAAGTTGGTCACTCTAGAGTATTGGCGCATCCAATGATAGATGGAATAGTGGGCATAGTCCTACCGACATTGGTCCTTCTTTTGGTGGTTTAGGGGACATCGTATTTACTCTTCATTCGCAGACAAAGAACGCTAACTCTATAAAAAGAATCCAATTGCTTTGAATGATTGATCTGCAGGCAATTCTTGCTGTAGGCTACCATACCTACACCCACAAGCTCGCGTTGTCTGATATGGCCCCGATGATCCAATTGGGGTTTCTAGTGATCCTATCACACAACGCAGTCAGAAGCGCAGACACATTTCTAATGGTGACGACAGTCGATACGAGTCGGATAGAATTTTATCGGTCTCCGTTCATCCCGCAGGGGCAGGCAAATTTGAACTTAACAAATGAAATGATTATTTTGTGCTCCGCTTCCATCAAGGATACTCTACGATGTACTAACTACCCTTCGTAACGTGGAGATCTTTCCTTCTGCAAGAACTGCATAGCTCGAAATTCGATGATATTTTCATCTCAACAGCTACGAAGACTACGTCCTACGGCCCTTCGAAAACGCTGGGTAGGGTTGGGCTGGAGTTCTGGAAGTTCAAAACACTAGGTGCTTGCTTAGAGGGGCGATCACCGTGAAGTAATCTATGAAGATACACTATCTTTTTGCATCTCAGGTGCTATCTTCTGTGATTGATCCGCTCTCTGTCGCGAGACTTCTGCTTCTTCCCCGCTAGCATTGAGTAGCTTGACGACCATCTTGTCGTTCGAGACTTGAATGTTGTTGAACAGCTGGCTTCAAGTCAGCGCGGAGCTCCCGAATGTAGTACAGCGGAGATTGGGCTCACCAAAGCTAATATGTTCTAGGTCTTAAGGTGTAATCCTTGTATCTTCAAGCTAGCCTAGCTCGGAGCCATACCTGTGAAGGTGAGCAGCTACCACCCGCTTAAGGACCCTCTATACCATTCTCACTAATCTTTTGTTAAATCTCGAAGCTCCCCAACAACACTTCCCTCGGCTCTAGCTGCGTAAATTTCCCCAACTAGGTTCTATCTTCATACTTAGTGGTTATGGTATTCTTAGCCCCCACATTCTCAAGAAACGGAACACAGCAAAGAATGCCTCTAAGATTGTTGCGCATGAAATTGCTACTGCAAGCCAACAAGTTAATATGATTGTCTACATTCACAGAATCAATATTCTACCTTACAATACTAATAAAGTCTCGAAAGAGCACCAATACAATACAGGTGAGGTCCCATACAGTCCCCCATATCACCGACTCCTTTCTTAGAAACCATGAAGTAATTCTACGCAGTTAACGCCTCAAATACTGAAACCCTACTCCACTTAGCTACTTAAGTACTCTACCATAAAGGCCTTGTAGTACACCTACTGCCTTTTCACAAACCCACGTAAAAAGGGTTATCAGCCATCGATCTCGCACACTGAGGCTGCGACAGGGGACATGAATATCGCAGCGAACAGGAAGCACGTCCGGTTTGCTCACCACATGAATTCGGCCGGCCTGCAAGCCTGCTCCGAAAAGCGGAGCATCGTTCTAATTCCAAAAAAAAAAAAAAAAAACCAGAACTGACCACTCAAGAAGAACGTCATCATTAGCCGTGAAACCGAAAAAAAATTGAAAAATTTGTAAGCCCACCTACGCTAGGAACAAAGTGTCCGCCTAGGTACTAGCTCCTACAATTGTTATTACTGCGGGGTTGAACATCCTCTCCCTATGCTACCCTTTCTAATTACTAGATGACCCCTTGAGACATAAAACCATACTCCATATACAGTTGTAGGGATTAACAAGCCCTTCTAAGCAAGCTAAGAATCATTCAAGTCCAATAAAAATCAATAGGGATATAAAGCCCAGAAAATACGAAGACTAGAAATGCGTACTAGTGTATTCAGGAGCCTCTTTAAAGTCACCAACTCCCAAGGTCCATATCTCGTTATAATTGACATAAAATACATGATATCAGTACGTGGGTATTTCTTGCACTGAAAGCATCCATCAAAGCCAAAATCACAGGTGTTATACAGCCCTTGAATGAAACTCCACTTTACATGTTCAAAAAAAAGGTTCCCAACATCTCCAAGACTCCCTATTTTACTCCTCCTCGTCTTCATCCTCATCGCCCCCGTCCTCCCCCACTCCCACCGCTGAACTTGAGCTCCTCCCACCATTTCCACCCCCCCTCCTTGCACCCGTACTCCCAACAACCACCCTCTCCCCCACAAAAACATCCCCCGTCCACTCTACCTTACAAACCGGACATTTCCCCCTCCCACCCCTTTGATTCTGCCCCCTAAAAAACTGCTGCGTACAATGGTCATGCAACCGACAGCCACACGCCCTATCCGCACACCTCTGCCCGACCGTCACAATTTCTCTACAACCTTCGCAATCCTTGACGCGGATTAGGGGTTCGTCGTCTGGGTCGTCTGGGTCCGCGGGCTCGTTGTATGTTTCTTTGAGGTAGGTGCGGAGTTCGATGAAAGCGCGTGGCGCAAGGGAATAGTACTGTGCGCGGGACAAGTGGAGGAAGGACTGGGAGAGGAGTTCAGAGAGGACGCGATCAGCCTCGGATATCGTTAAACTTTTCGCATTAGCGGTTTCCAGGGTATTGTTATCACCATCGCCATCGCCGTCACCGTTTTCGTTGCCGTTGACCTGGCTTTCTCTTACTCCTGATCCGCGAGAGCGAGACACTTTTGCGAGATTCGACGCCTGCATCTTGCTGACCGCCATAATCTCCCTATTCCGCGTATTATACGTTTCGAACATTGCATCTAGAATCCGCTTTATGTACGAGATTTCATCAGGCGAGAATGTTGTCGCGAGTTGTGTTAAAGCATCCGATGTTGTGTTTACGAGCGCGTAAATGAGCGTGCGGTCGGTTTGGGAACGTGTAGATCGGATCTCGTAGTCTAGCGCAGAGAGCCGTGTGTTGATGGTTGTAATGGTGGAGGAGATGTCGGCGGGCGTGACGTCGCCTTCTAGCATTGGGCGGCGAGGATCTATTGGCTTTATTAGAGGACGTTATAGCCTTGGGTAGAGGATATTGGGGACGTTGGGAGGGAGTGAAGGTGTACCATGTGCGCTATGCACCGCTGCGAGGACGGGTTTGATTTCGTCTACGGTCATGACTGGTCTTGAGAGGAAGGCTTGCAGAAAGGCGCGATGGGCATTGTTGTAGCCAGTTTCAACAGTTAATTCGGCGTGGAAATCGTCGCGAGACATTGCGGAGATTGTGGGGGGGGGGGGGATATTTTGTTCGGAGTGAAGAGTGGTTGTGGGGTTGAAGCGACACGGGTAAGTTTGGGGAAACACGAACGCGTTTACACGTGACCAGGCTCCAGTCTTTAGCCCCATGCATGCAGAGGGTAGAAGCTATACTCGTGGACTCGGGCTTGCGGATATCTAGTAGTAATGCCCTTATAGTATTCAGCAGTCACCCTAGCTCAGGTAGGAATTCACATCACCAGACCATCACCTGAGGTATCCCCGCCACGGAAGTCCCTTAGTAAATCCCTAAGTAAATTCGACAATAAAAACTAGAATTGGCTACAGCAAAGAATACTCAAGAGCCTTGAATGCTCCACCAAGATGCCAAACCCATACCCAAACCTATGTTCTGGCCCCGAGTCCCCGGATGCTGCGTGTATCTGAATGTGTACTCTAAGTGTTGTCGTAATCAACGCCTCCCAATGAGCCAAATAAATGACATCAACACGCCTATTGCCCAATGATGATGATGACGCTGCTGCTAATACGCCCTCCCCCCTAGGTTTTCGCCGACCATCCCGCCCATGTAACCGTTAGCCGTCTGTGTTCAATAGTGAATGCCTATGGACGCTCCAACCCCGCTCCAAAACCATCATCCAACGACAAACAATCTACGCCGATTTCGGATGCTGCTCAACAAGCCACTCCAAAACACTCTCATAGCAAAGCACGAATTGCCGCAAACTCTGTACCATGCTCAGCCTCTGCAACCTAAATTCCTCAACCGTCTGCTCGATCAAATCCAGATCATCACTGACCGCCCAGTTCCCCTCCACTTTCTCGTCCTTGAAGAATGGGCTTTCTTGGCTCCGACTTTGGCTTGATGAACCCGGCAATGGCTCCATCTCCATCGATGTACCCTGTCGGAGATTTCGAGCTTGACGTTGTCGTTTCAGCATATCGATGACTGAGTCAACGGTGCAGAATGTCCCAGTTCGACCACATCCCGCGGAGCAGTGAACCAAGACTGGACGGCCGTTTGGAGGATCCGGACGAGATGGGTGACCGCCGTTTACTTGTCTCACGACCGCATCGCATTGTTCAATTAGACCCAACAGGTGTGCGGGGTGAGCGGGAGCGCCGAAGTCAGGCCAACTAGAGTATTGCAGCTGCGTTATTTCTCGCATCCGCTGGAATGGCTCGTTAGAGTTGGAGAGGGTGAATTTCCTAACGATAACATAAGGCTGGTCGGAGTTAGGAGAAGAATTGTTTGGTTCTCTTGACAGATTCGCCGGCTTGGGTGGGTTAGTGGCGCGACGCTGGCCCAAGGCTGGCCGATCTCTGTGCCGATGGATTCTTAAAGGCTCGAGAGAAGCGCGGCGTTCACCGAGTGCGTTGAGCTGCATGTGCCCGTACTGTTTGTTACACCAGTAGTTATGCGCCTTGACTTGGCCGCCTTCTTGCTCCGCGGTTAGCATAACGATGACACGCACATCTTGCTGCCAAACGACGTTCCAGAAGTCCTGTGGAGTATTAGCCCAAGTTCATATTACCTGCGAGAATGGGATTACTTACATTGAACGTTGCAGGGAGCGGTCCTTGCGTGGCAATGTAGCGCTTGTTGGATCGCGCAGTTTGAACATAATTCGCATTGACGTAGTCACACCCGCCGTCTGCAACACCTTCTAATTTGACCCGGGTGTGTTCATATGGCCAAATACTGTTGTAGCGGTTCTTAGAACCCTTCTCTATCCCGGCGATCTGAACAGATCTAGTAGATTCTGATCCTGTAGCCGGAGAGCCAAAGACAACTTTACTAGATAATGCTTCTTGCATCCGTTTCTGCTCGCGCTTCTCAATCTGCAGGAATTTGTCCGATACAAGCCTGCCATTATCCATTTCGTTCACTGCGTGCCGCAGCCACGAGGGAAGATCTTCTTCTATTTGATTTGTCATGGTTGCTGGATGTTTGAGAGACAATTGACCAACACCTCCAATCAAGTCCATATTCTGGCGAATGTTTCCAAAGAACGGATTCGCGGCGTTTTGAGTTGCTGGCATAGGACACCCTCCAATAACGGGAGCTACAGAAGGCAAACTTGAATCGAGGTGGAGGGAAGCAGACATCGGGCTGTTGGTTGAGTTGTGAGCTATCCACGAGGGAAACTTCTCCGAGAACTCTGAGAATCCGCCTCGAATAATATATGAGCCACCCGCCCATCCTTCGTTCGTGAACTTCTTCAGGGTGTTTATGCAAGTGGCAGCGTCCTTCATCTGTGAGGAACTGGCGTCATAAACGATTATGTATTTGCTACTCCTCCACCCTTCAAACTTCTCTCTGTGGTCCTCCTCTTTGAAGGTTTCCGCCAGTTTTTTTACATTAAAAGAGGCTCTCTTTAGTAAGGTGGTGGGTATGCACAAGCTCAATGCGCCTACAATTCGGGACTTTGCGTGCTGAGTTGATACACGGAGGTCGAGGAGCAATACTTCCTCTGCAGCGGATTCGAGAATATTCACAACGTGTTGTGGTGTCGTCATCACCGGGCCATCTGTTTTGCTTTCGTTCTCTAAGCTCGCAGGTAATGTTTCAGCTCTGTGGTGGGACACGGGGAAGGAGTGGGTAGCTGGTTGAGCGGGTAGGGAAGGTCGAAGATTCCTGCCTTCTACGAATTCCGCCAGTTCATCTGACCGGTCGAGGAAGCTTGCAGGTGAATTCCTCCGTGGACGCTCTGGGAAAAGCGAAGACTCGGTCGACAGAAGCCTTTTGGGCGACCGAGGCTTGATAAGGCCTTCAGAGCCATCGGATTTAGTTCGATTAGAGTAGTCAATGGAATTCGTAGAAGGCACTGTAGAATTAGGGCTGGGGAGCTTGGCATATCCAAAAACGGGTCCAGTCGGCGCCGCTGAAGTGGCTGGTCTGGCACCAAAATCCAAAAGGTTACCTAACGCGAAGGCCTTACTGTTTCCAGACTGTCTCCTAAACTGGTCAAATTCAAGATTCTGGTCGGCTGGAATAACTCGGGGAGATGTAGCTGCTATAGAGCGCACATTAGATGACGGCGGACTCCAGTTGCCGCGGAGGTGCTGAGCTGCGCTGGACGAGAAACAGTCGGCGTTCGCGTCAACCGCCAACCCAAAGTAATTGGGGCTTGGAGTGCGAGGATCATGAAGAACAAGGCTGGTGGCCTTGCCCTCGTTGAGGCGGCGAGGGGTGAGGGGTGGTGCAGCGGCTGGCGTACGGGAGGCACTGGGCCTCGATTTATGGGTGCGAGACTGTGAGGGGTGCTCCCTCAGTCTCGGGGAGAGGACAGGCGTCGACATTGTCATACTCCCTTAAAGAGCGATGTTGGCGGATGTGAAGCCAGCAAAGGCTGGAGCGAAAATATAGGATATGAGGACATGAAAGTGGATAGAGGTTGTGTGGCGGCGGTGTCGAGGATTATGAGGAAGTGATGTGAGAGGCAAGGGCGGAGACTGCTGTGCCAGACGGTTGAAAGAAGCTGAGGAATATGATGTCACTGGGGCGGGAAAAGGGCGATGACAAAACGTTACGAGGAGCAACGACAACGGCAAGACGACTCCGGCGGACAAATCTGCTGAGGAATGTTCACGAAGTCGTTTGTTTAACGACGACCGAGAACGAGGGCCAGCTGGACGTCTCGTGTGAAGAGTGACCCAAGGGTGGTCTGATGGGGCTGATGGGAGCCGGCGACAGATCAAGTTTTCGGCATCGCGCCAAGCTATGCAGGAGATGCAGGGTCTTGGTCCCTGAAGTATAAGCGAAGGTCTCTCCCGTGACCGAGATAGGGCTGAGAGCAGCACAGCAGTGCGGACTGAGGAAGAGAGACGAGGAAGGAGATGCAGATGGTCGTGAGGGTTGCACGCCGTATCGAGACTATTATGGCACATTATTGAGTGCGAGACGGATCGCCTTCCAACAAGAATCTGTAACAGCTACAGCTACTGGACGGCCGGTCTGGACTCAGACAATCCATATTGCATCTGCAACATATCTTCGGGCTCGCTCTGGACTAAGTCAGGTGCACCGAAAGTACCAGGCATCAACGGCCCATTATCGCATCCTCCAGCAAATGACCAAGGGAGTAACAAACCCATCATCCCAGTTTCTCCTCGGAAGCCAGCTTTCTTCTTCGCAGAGCTTACCGCTTGGAGGCCCCCGCCAGGCTGCCAGAAGACCGTGAGGCTGGACACTAGGACTAATAAAGCGCTAGCCCAATGCACACCAAGATCAGCAAATTTTAGTGCTCTGAGAGTGCGGGATCAGCCAAACTCATCCTTCGGTTCTGAGGCGGCTCGACCTCACATCTGGCACCTGCATGGATGGACAACTGAAATCCCATACTCAACAGCTGCCGCAGTCTCACCTCCGAGGAAACTCTTAACCCCGCGAATCTCGAATGGAGAAACTGCCAGGAGTTTGCGCTAGGTAACCACTGATTGCCGATCAGGGTGAGTAATGATGAAAATATATCTCTGATACGAGGCTAGAATCTTGTGCGTGGTCGAACGTGGTCGAAACGACACTAAATTTGTCACTGAAAAGTCGTTCACTCAATCTTGAAGTCAAGGCTTACATATTCACTCAACAGCAACGCACAACTACTAGATTCGGAATAATGAATTCCCATCTACCAGGCATTCGAGGAAGCTATCAAGAAATGGTAGAAATACTGCTACTTTTCGGTCTTTAAGCCTCGAGGATCCCACATATCATACGCCTGCTACCTCTAATCCCAGTACCAAACGCCTGCGCTATCGTCACCTTCCTAGAATACTATCTTCAATATATCCACATCCTTGTGCAGTCATCACAGATACGCATTTCCCAACTCATGCTCTTTCAGATATTCGCCGCCCTTCTCCATAAACTCGGCTCTCGTCACAAAATGTGGTCGACTCTCCTGCTTCCCCGCCCACTTCGCTGCGCCCCTCCAAGCATCTAGGACGCAATCCTTTGCTCGCCGGACTTTCAGTGGGAGTTCTGCAGGTAGCACAGCACGCAGTTCGTTAGATAATCGCTCTTCGAAGCCTTGAAATAATGTGTTACCGCCCGTGAGGAAAATATCTTTTAGTACGTCATTTCTATACGGAGAGTCTGAAAGCCGCTCTGCGAGGATACCAGCAGCGATCTCAACAATGCCCGCTTGATCGAGGCCAGCGATAGAGGGCTGGAAGACCACTTCTGGGACGCGGATGCGTTCGACGTTGAGGTGGATTTGATTCGCTTCTTTCTGGCTCTCTGGGTCGTAGGCATATGGGCCGTGCAGAAATGCGTGCAGAATACTCTTAGTCCAATCGGTTTGGGCTTCACGGGTGCTCTCCTCGGTGAAGTGAGGATCATGCTTTAGGAGCTGAGCTTCAATGTTCTTGAGCTCTTTGTTAAGATCTTCGTCTTCTTCGTCATCGCTTTGCTCGCCAGTTGCAATCGTCCGATAGACACCCCAGTCCGCATCATCGGCGCCAAATGTGTCGTCATCGCCACCACCACGCCGCCGCTTTTTAGATGGGTTGTCCGAAGCGAGGTTAGCAATGGACTTCATACGCATTTGGTTGGCGAGTGATTTGCGGTTTCCTAGTTCGGCTTTGAGCCGTTCCTTGTCTTTCATCTTCTGGATTATTGCCTATTGTGGAGTCAGCGCATTAGCCATAAGCAATATTCGAGGGAAATAAACTTACTTGACGCGCCATTCGGTTCTCCTGAACCCATCCGTCCAAGTCGTTCTCACGGCGTTCGTCATCGAGGCGCTGTTCCTCTGCTAACCGTGCCTTCTCTTTCTCTTTCTCTACTTTGGCACGTTGCCGTGCGTCGTAATTAGACTTCATCAATCTCTGCTGCCTCTTTTGCTTGAGACCTTCTTCGTCAAGCTGGTCGTCTGGAGTATCCAACAATGGGAAGGTGGGTGGCTCATTCTGCTCCTCCTCCTCGTCGCCTACATCCTTATTCCTAGCTTTCTTGATAGATTTTTCAAGTTCTTTTACCCGCTTATCGAGTTGAATCTCCTCGTCAAAGTCGTTAGACTCCAACAGCCGCTTGCCCTCCTTCTTGTTCAATGTCTGAAGCTGTTGTTGAAGCTGCTGGTAATATTCTAATTCCTCCTCTTTCTTCTTCAGCTTATCTAGTCGCATCTTAGCGGCTTGGGCCTGCAGTCTGCGGCCACTCTCTTTCCGCTTTTCAGCCGCAAGAGCGAGTTCCTCTTCAGTTTTCTGCACAACGACCTGTTCGGTATATGGAAATTGGACGATGTGGTCCCGGTCTTCGAGCCCAGTCCAGTCGAGGAAGTGGCTGAGTTCGCCTTCATAATTCTGGCTTACATAACAGTGTTCTCTAACCAGGTCTTCAGCTTGCGGGTCGCTAATTTTGCCAGGGAATGAAGGGTATTTTAGCTTTAGAAGTTTCAGTAGGTATTCGGCGGATTGGAAACGGCCCCAGTTGAGTCGGGTGGTCTGGGAAAGGAGTGCTTTGGAGTCGACTACAGGTATTAAGTGTGTAGATGTGAAAGACGAAGAGACGACAAGTCCGTGGTGACCGCCGTTATAGGAGTATGAGAAGAGGGAGTCAATCCCATAGGCGACAGAAGGGGCTCCGTAACATTCGAAGAGGATTTCTGACATTGCTGTAATATCAAACTGTTAGCATAGACTAGTAGCCAAAATCATCCCTCTAAATAGCGAAGGTTGAACGCACTCTTCCGTGTATATCCTAGATTTGCGACTGGCTCTGTCATCACGATTGGTCGGTCAATTCCCCCGCCGGCGCCATCTACACCCAACTTTAGGAAGCAGTAATCCATAACCCCTTCAAAACAATCCCAGTTGTTCACAATATTGCTCCCGGGCTCATATACATTCTTCGCTTGGCCGCGCGCTGTACCATCAGAGTAGACATCCGAACCGACGAATGTGAAAGTACGCATAAGCTTGCGGTCGCGGTATCGAGCCATGAGCGGAGGAAGGGACAGTCTGGGTTTTTCATCGAAGGACCAGCCTGCGCGAACAGCCGATGAGCCTGCGAAGACTGTTAAAAGAGCACATTGAAATTCGAGCGTAACAAGGCAGCGCTACTCACCATTGTCAATGACGATCGCCGTTTCACGGTTGCTCCGCGCGTAGCCCTCGGTGTCAATCGGTTTAAAGCCCTCGAAAGGCGGGTCGTTCACGCGCCATATCCTCGGTGGAGGTTTAGGTGAGTTGCAGCTGGAGGGCAATACATCGGTGGTTGCGGAGGGCGCCATGTTGAAGGTAGTCTGTATATATAAGGAAAGCTGCGCACAGTGTGGTCATTTCATGGCGCAAGAAGTTTTAGTGACAAGGAATTTAGCATGGCGTGGGGCTTCCTCAACACCGTGCAATTGTTCGTTCTAAGCTCCGACCAGTCGACGCAGATGGCCCAAGCACCCTTCCCAAACGGGTGTTCACGACTTCACCAAAGTGGTGAACATCCGTGAATTGGATCCGTGACACTTTTTGCTATAAAATTCAAGGCAGTGGTCGCAATTTAGGTGCAAGCAAATAGGACATAATCGTTCCATCGTTACATTAGATATTCCATAACGATCCCCTCTATTGGCACACCAAGCGCCATAATTCAACAAGAGAGTGCCCAGTGCACTAAAGTAGAGCACAGTCACACTGTAAGAGCCTCTTGAAGGAGGGTACCACTGTTGTTCTAGAGGAAATCTATTCTTTCCAACCATCACGTGATTCCGGGCGTCAATATCCCAATACAGCACGCAACTCCATCCACCTATCTTCTCATGACGGATCTTTGAGACCATTCGTAGCTAACCTAACATCAACAGCTGCCCAGATTTGATGTGATTTTGGGGCTCCTAGGTACCTTCGAGATGGAACAAGACATTCGACTGATAATTCTTGAACATTTGCGCCACCAGCTCGACGTCCATATTCTGGATGTTGATCTCTTGCAAATTCTTGTTGAGCATCATGATCGCTTCGTTGAGTTTCTCCTATAATTAATATCAGCATAAGTACAAAGAAGCTCAATATATCCTGACTAACCACATTGACTATGATTCGGGAGAGCAAGAGACTCTGCTGGTGCTCGTGTGGACTTTCCTAGAAGTATGTGAGATTCTCGCGCCTCCAAATCTATAAGGGGAATTTATACTTACCATAGTTGCGATTATCGATTGTAGGGTGTTGATGCGACGCGTTTCTAGTGGAGCAGTTCTCGACCAAAACTGTATATTGTTGCCAAGAACAATCCAATGCATGCCTGTGCGCCTAACCATTTCACCCTGACATCCCTCTTAACCAGAGCTTCTAGCCACCTCACCAACCTGCTTGTTTCGGGCATAGCCACTCACCAAAATCTGATTTGCTCAAGAAAGCAGGCGCCATCGCTTCCTTTGTGTATCCCCAACTTGCCGCTTCGCTTCAATTCGGTCACGCTCTTTCCCACCCTTCACCATGGCCCCAATCACCACAGCCTCGGATGAAACCACGCATCAAGCCTTGCTAGACAAGCTCGATATTTACGCAATCCCAAAGCCGTTTCGCAATCCGCACTGGAAGCCGCCTCAACGCCGCAACAAGAATGTGAAACAGATCATCGCGGATGCTACACGCAAAGAAGCATCAGTCATGGCGACCCAGAACAACAGCGGCGTCTCCACACCCATTCTCCCACACTCCGACGCTGTCACTGGTGGCGCCACCACACCCATCAACAACACTCACCGACCTCCCAATATTGCGCAGGCTGCACAGAGCCTGAGCACCCTCGTGCTTGAGAGGAACAGTAGGGCTGCGGTGTACTCGGGGACGGGGATCGGCAATGGCCCTGCAGCTACCTACACGAATATTGAGTCGGCACCGAGCTTCCATCCAAGCAGCCAAAGGAGATACTGTGATATCACCGGTCTGCCTGCTCCGTACACAGATCCAAAAACGAGGTTGAGATATCACAACAAGGAGGTCTTTGCGGGTATCAGGGTAATGCCACAGAATGTCACTGAAGGATACTTAGCAGCAAGAGGGGCGCACACCGTTTTGAAATGAGTGAGGGCGTAAGTTTTCGAGACCACGAGAGTGGCCATGGAATCACTTGCAGAATATTTGTCAATGAGCCCCACCATTAGAAAATGGTGCAGAGAACACAGAGAGTATAGAGAGGGGGCTGGAGAGGAGGCTCCGTCGACCTATGCTCGATGCTCATGAACATGAAAGAACGAGCACGTGGAGTGATGAGAATATGTACGACCAACAAAGTCAAGCATCATCCACCCACCTTGCCCCTTTCGAAGCAAGGCTCAAGAAGACGCTCCGGCTTAATCGTGATCTTAGATTATTCTTCGCCCATGAGACGGGATACCAGGAGCTTGGAGGAGCAGTCCTAGTTACGGCATATGGATATGCTGTGGTCAGGGCGTTGGTCTACTCTGCCTTCTTTTCGAAGTGCTAGATTTTGAGAAGCTTAGGGAGAATTACATCAATAGATCCTGACCACCGCGGATGCATTCACCAGTGAAATTCGTCTTGTTGAGTCTCGAATGGGTGTTTGGTGCAGCTCCCTGAAATTCAACAAAATTCTGCGAACTCCCACTGAACGGATAGGAATCGGGATCGGGACTAAATTTCACCGATGCCGAACTTCAAGCGGATGCCCCGTCTTCAGCAACTTGACACGAGACAAAAAGTAATCCAACAATCCCGCAAACCTCGCAGATGCCAGATTTTGCTTGAGACTAGGCAACAACTCTCTGCAGTAGATACTACTCCGTCCCTGCATGATCACACTTCCTCTGTCTATCCTCTCAATTTTAAGACAATACTGTTTCACAAACTTCGCGATGCCGACAATGTGGCTTTCAGATTCCCAGAGTAAGCGTATTCGCTCCCTCAGATGAAAACTTTCGACTGACCTTGGGTTTTCCTGTCTGTAGAGATTGGAGTCGCCTTCTGTTCAGGGGGTAGGTACGCACAATGAGTCCGAGATAGCGTGGGAATGAAAGATGATTGATGCGGTGACAGGCGGCTTCTTTCTGCTAGGAGGTGTGATGATGTTCTTTGATCGCGCAATGTCGGTCTTCTCCCATCCATTCCCTCCACATCTCTAACCTTTGACCAGGCTGGCAATGGGAAACGTAAATGCCTCTCCTCACCTACCCTCCGGCCCTGCTCAGCCCTTCTCAGCCCTCCCAGCACATCCACATCCATCCTGACAAAGAAACCTTCAGATCCTTTTCATAATCGGCCTAACCCTCATAATCGGCTTCCAAAAAACTGCGCTCTTCTTCGCCCGCCGTCAGAAATGGAAAGGCACTGCTGCGTTCATCGCCGGGATTGCGCTCATTCTGCTCCGCTGGCCATTCTTCGGGTTCCTGATCGAGTTATACGGCATCCTCGTACTGTTCGGCGATTTCTTCGCAACGATTGGGGGGTTCGTGGGGAATGTACCAGTTGTGGGTCCGTATATTGCGCAGGCGTTGGAGAAGATTAGTGGGGGCAGGAGGAATGCTGAACTACCTGTTTAATGCTCGCGGAAGGGAAGAAGTGAGGAATTCGGAGATTCAAGAGAATGTGTACTATACTCCTGAGCAGGCGTTTATGACATGGATTCCAGCCCATCCAGCTGCGGGTGTGGCACTGGGTTGCAAATTGGAGTTTGGTGATGGGTACTAAAGCGTTGCGCCCTCTAGAGGTCATTTAACTGGCTAATGGTCCTTGAATCATTGAATCAATGGCACTTTTCCGGATAGTCTGGTATACAAAAGTATGTGGTGAGAGTAGCGAAATATTCCTTTTTCTAGGTGTTCTATCATCCGGGCCAAGCGAGTATCCGACCGCGAAGCAATACTAGCATAATAAGGAATTCCTAGCGGAGAGATTTGAGATCAGGAGATCGAATCTCCCAACTCGTATGGCGAGAACGGCCATATGGCCTTCGAAGTTGGCCGATTCGATGTCTACGCTCTTAAACCGAGGAGCCATCAAGTGGAAGATCTGCAGAAGAGTGTCCAGTTTCACGGAGAAAATCCGTGAGAGTGCAGGAATGCAGAACTGATATTGGGGCGGACGTATTGTCTTCTCCTATTGGATCGGCACCGGCCTTCACCAGCACCTCCGCAATTTCGAGGGAGCCGTTTCTAGTCGCGCTGGTCCGGGGGCTCCGTGCCGGAATGCCACACGGCAGGTCCAGGAACGTTTTGGATATCAAAGTAACTTGGATAATTTCAGCTCAACGCAACGTAACGAATCTGATTTCACGGCTTGAGAGAGCGGCTGTCCTGGTGGATTTTCCATCTAAAATGTAGCTCAAAGTTCCTGGTTTGGCCTTTCGACGAATTAGAAAGCCCTCAATAGACTTAAAGTCCTCTGAGCCGACTGGTCTGATACCGGAGTCTATAAGAGGCAAGATTCCCCTGCTTCAGGAAAGAGCTACGTACAAGAGAAGGATGGCTTCGAGCTATCCCGCGTTAGAAATTTCAAAGAGGTATATGAAGATTTTCAACAGTATCCGCATAATGACGAACACACGCCAGCTAGAGAGCCAACTCTGAATTGTTTTCTATCCCAGGCTCGTGAGGATTTGCGCCGAGATGAAGAAGTGTCTCGACTACCCTAGAAATCTTCAAATGGACGGTACGGTGAAACGAAGCTCCACACCGAAACCTCGAGCTTCAGTAGTGCGAATACCCGGCCTCGAAACCCTTCTGCTGAAGGCGACACATATTGGCCTGTTCGCTTCCGCCCTCTTCGGCTATGCTAAACAGGATGAGTGAACGCAATTCTGAGAAACTGTACTTTATCCTAGTTCTAGCACAACTCCGTCTCGCACGCCATTGCCCTAGCTACCAAAGAGTACAGGTCACTACGTTCTACGAGTGGAACCACTTCATCCGTGTATGGGCAAAAATTATCTAAGTCTGCTCTTACTGATTGAAGCTCAGTGAGCGACCTAAAACCTCATAGAATACTTGTGGTGCGTGTTGTACTGCACACACAACCATTCGTCGATCGAGCACTACTGATTGGGATGAGTGTCTTAGCTTTATCAAGAAACGACACTCTTGAAGTCTTCTTCTTAGTAAGGAGGAAATGCTAGTTACACAGCCTTATCTCTTACTAACGTCTATCCCTGGGTCGCGCAAAGCCACCGTGCCGCAAAATGTGAGGGGTACTTTGACTTCACACCACTCAAACTCTGCACACACTCTAATACTTATTATATTTTCGCATTACACATGTACTATGGGCGATTCCACACATGCATGCACCTTTTCGCCCAAAAATTACCATCGCTTCGTCGTCGCCACGCCTAATTAGTAGAAGGCTCTTTTTGTCGCAAAACAGACTTCTCCCGCTACAGCACTATTATCACGCTCTTACTGCTACTAAAACTTATAGAATGGTTCTATCTAAGCCTACGAACTTCACTACAGTGTTTAAAAGCTAGCATCTGCATTGTGGCTACTATCGCATGGAGATTCATGCAAGGTCGCCACTTGTGTTGGTACCTTTAATAAAAGTAATTATTAATATAGGCATGTGCGAAACAATCCCCACATCTCACGTAACCAGCACTGTAATTTACGCGGTCAAAAATTTGTCCTGTTAGATATTACTCATCACCATGCTTACACACCTCTGCCCTTCCGCTTTGGCACTAGCTTGATACCCTATAATTAAAGCAGCATCAATTTCCTATCTCCATATTCTCCATCTGCCATTGAGTCAATGCTTCAAGCGACGACTCTGTGTCTGGGTGATGACCCCCCAGGATCCGTTTGCGCAGCTGAAAGCATGTTTCCATCAAGGAGATGGCCTCCTTATTATGCTTTTGGGACTTGAGTGTGAACGCAAGATTGCCGATAGCGTTCAAAGTGCTTGGGTGATCCTCCCCAAGCACCCTCTTGAACGTCTCCATCACTTCCACTTCCAGCTCTTCGGCCTCCTTCCACCGGCCTTGATTCC